ATACTTGTCAAAAAAAACCAACCACGTGCAGGAAAGAAAATATGGTTATGTTAAAAATAATAAGCACTAGGCAATTAGTCATTTATGTTTTCACATTAATAATTATTATGTTTTTTATTATAATTGTCAACGTTAAATATTTTTTAGGTATTGTAATATATTAGAATTAGATTCTGGGCGGAGAAAGAAATGTATTAGTGTTACTATGATGTATACTACTTTGTTCAGATTGTGTACATTTTTTGTCCATGTTTTATCATTTTGTGTATATAAACAACTTTTCTATCAAAAATCTTGCACCAATAAAAATATTATAAGAAACCTTTTTTGTTTAATTTTAGATATAGTTGATGTGTTGAGGACATTTTTTTGATTTTTTAAGTAATTTTTATAATAATTGTGAAAAACTGGAAAATAACATACCGGACAAATATTTATAGCGTTACAGGGTTTATTATTTTGATTAATGCATTCGGTACATTGGTAGGACTAGGACATTTTTTACATGAGAAAAATTGGAAATTTGTTGTATCATTGTTGATGAATTCTGGCTAATCTTGATAGCAAGGAGATAAATACGACCAATAATCTATGCTTAGAATCGTCTTTCGTTAGCAATGGTTAAATTATTCTACAAGTTTATATCCTCCTTTCCAACATCCCTCCTAAAACAGTTCCTCTTATTTCAATTATTATAGTGTAATTTGACGTAGTGTAACGGTTATAATTGGCTAAATGTTCAAACTTTTACTTTTCGACACATTATAATTTACGCTTTAGTAAACGTAATTTCCATGTATTATAATGTAATTTCCTCTGAGGTGTTTTATAGTAGTCTAATAGTAGGTGGATAGTTTTGAAGACATAGAATAATATCCCATATTATAATCTATAGACAATGACGGATTTTCAACATTTTTCCGGGAGATGTTTTGAAAAATTATATGTATTTTAAATGTATCTATTAATAGATTTTTTTTTTCTCTTCTCGTCGTTTATTGAAATTATATCAGTGTCTGGGGTGGGTCCAGACCTTCTGGATCCTCCCCCACATTAATCCACCACTGGATATATCATAATTTCGTTTATGTACTGAAAGTAAGGATTGAACATTGTAATCGAAAAAATGATTCTGAGCGAAGCTTTATAAAATAGTAAGATATGCCTACGTGGATTTTCCCTTGTAATCAACAAAAATTATAAATTCAACAAATCCGATGTATTTTTGTGGTCAGTTTATAAAATTTGTTAGGAAAATTATTAAGGGAATCTAGAAATAGTTTTCAAAAAAAGGACTATTGGGGGAAAAAAATTGTATCACGGTGTCAATAATGTTGGGCAATTTTACTAATCGAAAAAGTGTTTTTCAAAGTGGAAGATAAAAACACTGTAGCTAAAGAAAATAATAATTACTTTGTTATACTCAAAATTTAAAATTAATTCAAACGATCAAAATGCGCATTTTTGCAGAAATTCGATCTCTTTAACTAACAAATTGAACAACGTAGCATAAGAAATATATTATCTCGAATACCATTAACATTTTTTCAGATTTTTTTTTTAGAAAATTAAACAATCAACATTAAAATTATTTAGTAATATCAAAGATTATAAAAAAACAAGAATACTAATAATAATCAGTGGTAATAATATCTATACTAGTCTTTATTTTGCCAATTTCAAAATTTCTTTCGAAACACCCTCTTTTCTTGAGCGTATAATAACAAAAATATATCCTCAAAGTTTGGATAATATGTAGTGGAGGCGCGTGACATTTTAATATTTATTAATAAAATAATTGCATAAAATCAATGAAAATAGAGATGCAAACGACCACGGTTTGTAATCCTAAGATATTAATGTCTTTTTTGGTACCATATACATGTGGATTATATTTTTCAAGAGTTTCATAAATCAACTGAAACTTATATTTCTTTAAGAAAATTCCAAACTATTTCTATACTAAAATAGTTTGACATGTAATAATGATAAAGTTCAGTCGAGACGCAGCTAACAATTACTCGAACCTTGATAACACGAAAAACTTGACAATTCGATTTATTTTTGGCCCCTTGAAATCCTCATAACTCATCGTATATTATGTCTCTATAGTAATATATAAAGTTAAGCAATCATAAAAGATAGCTAATTGAATTCTTTACGTCTTCAAACTATATATCCCCATGTATAGTATACAAAAACAAAATTAAAATAGGTCTTTGGGTTTTTTAGAAAAACGAGAAAAAACGTAGGAAAACCAGGGAAATCGGTACAACATTAAACAAATATTATTAAAGAAAATATATAGAGCCTACTTAATTATTATACTACAATGCGGCATATATATTGTTGACAAATATCTCTATCAACTGAACTCCGCTCAGAAGCATTTTTTCGTAGGCAACGGTTTATCGTTGCTTGCGAGTACACATTAAATTGCCTATAACAGTTGTTGCAACTGTTCCCATTATCCTAGGAAGTCTTTTCACTTATGAATCTTCCCCAAAAACCCCTAACTCCGAAATATTGTTTTCTGTGAATGCAAATATTATGCAGACCGAATATCCTAAGAACGAAAATCACGATGATGGTAGAATGACGAAACGGTCGGCATAGTGAATTAAAATACAATATATTTAGAGCAAACGACCGTAACAGAAAGGTCAGTATTTCAGTAGGTACGCATCATACATAAACACACAGCATAAACACGCTTTAAATACCATTACATTGGTTAGGTTGTCGACCATCAGTATCAGACTTATTTAGGCTGTATTTGAAAATTGAATACACACGTGTAGCGTGTATAAGCGCAACGGTGGAATTTTCAGACCGTGCAAAAAGAAGAACCAGGTACGTATAATTATAATCGATCCAAATGCTATTGGTATATAATACCCACACAATGTTATTTCAAAATACTTATTTATTTCATTACTGCAGTTTTTATTTGCATTTTTTTTCTGTTTATTTATAAGGTTCATTGTTAAATATAATATAATATATATTATAATTTTTTTGGCTGCTGTTTTCCATTCCGATTAAACACGCACACCCTATATACAACGTTAAACCAAATATACCGCCAATGTGTTTACCATGTTTGCCTTTATTATTGTAGACGCACTATATATGCACCGTGTCTGTATAGGTACACCTACCAAATGTTGTTTCATATTTTTGTCGTCTTTGGACAGCTGCACCGGTTTTTGATAATAAATTGTGTTAACGCGGTGTAAACCGAGTCCGGTCACCGCTGACAAATTGACACATGTACTGCACTTACATGATGGGCTTATCCGAGGTAGATAAAAAGGTATCCATACCGGCTTCGAAATTATCGAGGCCTATGGGGCGTTTATCATTTATGCAACATTATTGTTCTTTTCCTCCTTTTTCATAAGACATTTGCGTACCGTTAAATGATTGAGTCATACAACATTTGCCGATCAAAATGTTTAACAATAGAGGGGCTGAAAACCCAAAACCACAAGTTCTTTCCTAACTTTTAGCTTAATATCCAGTGTTAATAATTTTTATATAAATTAATTATAAAATCATATTTTCCAATATTGTTGTTATAGGCATAGTAGGTATTTATATTTTAAAAATATATTACACAGAATACATACACTTATCCAATCCAATCAAATATGATTAAATAATATAACTAGATATAATATCTAGTTGATATAACTTTAAAACTGTGAGTCACTTAAAATTTGTCGATTAAAATCGTGGAGATGTTGCTGTCATTTTTCAAAAATATTTGTATACGGAAATAAAACACTGAAAAATAGGAAAGTTTTTTTTAACCTATTGTTCGATACACTGATGCGCAAATGGCGTACGAGTTTTTGGAGCAGGTAAACAAACAACAAATGATGACAGCCTGCCCTGTACGGCCAATTTTCAGCGGCCTTTAATAAGAATTTTTTTTCATTTGTTTCAATAAATGTATGATTTTTGAGCTATTTTTTTTTCTTTTTCTTTTTTGACATCACAATATACGCAACAGTATTGGTATAATAATATTAGTAATAATAATATATAGGATTTCTGCGTACTTCTGTGAAACGGCATAATATTTTATTGTATTTCTTGTACATGATATTATATAATAACTAGCTGTCCCGCGCCCGACGTTGCCCGTGCCAATTTGCATTATTATAATTATTATTTTACCCATATTAATTTGCGGTTTTGGCCGAGTCAGAATTGAACGAAAACAAATAGGTGGAAAGTGGGTAGTCCACCTTCGGCGGACTAAATGTGTTCTATTGTGAAATTTTAATAGCGCAAATAATAAAAATAATAACGATAATTATAATAGTTTTTTTTTTCTGTAGCACCAAGGTAACTCTCGAATAAACAAAAATAAATAAATAGGCAATTAGATATTCGCACCAAATATACCTAAAAACCTCTATTTGACCCCCATAGGGGTTGAATTTTCAAAAATCCTTTCTTATTGCACGGTGAGAGTATTAGAGGAACCGCCATTCCAAATGTCAAGTGCGTACGTTGAGTAGTTTTTGGGATACAGCGATCAACGAGTCGGTGGTATTTGGATTGTATACATACGGATAACAAAAACGAAATATTAAAATAATATAATATAATATATTGATAACTATACGGTGCCTATATGTCTCGCGATCAAAACAACGCCCTCAACGGTTTTGTCGCCACTTACACGTATTACTAATATCTGTGTATTAAAAAACGTTAAACGAATTCGGACGAATCAAATTATTATTTATCGCGATTGCGTACGTTTTGTCTGTGCGCGTGTTACCGACACACGTTTGATGCCGTCGTCGTCGTAAACACGCGTAATCATAATAATAATATTATTATTACTATAAACCGCGTCGGCGTGTTGAAGTGAATGAAGTAATGGACCAGGAAGGACGAACGGGTAGGGCGCTGCGCCTCCGTTCGCGCAGAGAGACCTGTTCGCCGCGGCTGTCGTACCCGCGCCGCCGCGCCGTCAGTGACGAGCTTCGCGCCAATATCGCCGGTCACACGCTTAAACGCTCGGAGTCTACGCTCGGTGGGGCCCTGTTACGCGCGTCGTACGCCGGTCGCTGTCTCGTTAATATTTTCGTATTAAAAACTGGGTGTTTATTTTTCATTATTTATTTTTTTTTCTGATCTACGAATAATACTGTTTTTTTTTTTTGCCGAAAAACAACTGATTTTAATAAAAAAAAAAAAGTACTGAATTCGCCGTCGCGCGTTCGACTACATATTTACAACAGTATATAATATTATATTAATATCGTGATGATATTGCGGTACGGATGTGCAGTGTAAACTCGCTAATATCGATACAATCCATAATATTATGATTTCGCCGGCGCGAAAATAATACAGTACCGTGTAAATCGGACCGGGCACACGAGAAAAGAAGAAATGACGTAAGTTTTTCTATAAGTTTTTATTATGATAACACAATATAACGCCTACCTGTGTTTATAACATTCGATGGTCGATAATAATTAAAACATCGTCTTTTTATTTTTTTTTTACGTACATTATACATATTCGTCGAGAAAGTTATGCTTAAACGAATTGATAAAAAAAAAAAAAATAACTATTATTCGTATAGTGTACGTTTTGAAAAGAAGGCCGAATTAAGGCTAAATTGTATATTATTATATTATATACCTACTCACACGGTTGCATACCGATTATGGTAGTCCAAGGACGCGTGTGTTTTGCGCGATATGGAACGCCGCGGTACTCGCCGTCCGCCGTCGTACGAGCATCATTAGTCTACGTATACGATACCGGCTACTTAATATAGATACTTATACATTAGAGAGCGGATTTTTAGATTTTCGGGTGATAATATTATGCTTATCGCAGGGTTGAACTATCTCATAAAAACGCACCTGGAAATATCAATTATGAAACCGGTCCCAAAAAACCTATCGTCAATACTTTCCCTTGAAAGCGTCCTCTGCACTGATCACTGAAACGATTCGTTTCAGCCAACCTGCAATAGCCTACTAAAAATCTAGACGGCTTACAACCAGCCCCTCGATCACTGTTTACATTTTACAGCTTAACAGATTTACTAAATCTCACATGAAGGGTAGGTACAGAGAAAAAATCAGAAAAGTCACTATTTTCCAAAATGGCGAGATCGGTATCATCCAATTTGTATTGACATACCGTATTTTTTATGCGATCGAACCAGCGAAAAACCCAGACTAGTCGAAAGTAATGAGCGCTAAAAGTTTGAGCCTACAGGAAAAGGAAAACAGATGAGTCAACTGATACTGGCAAAGAATGAGACAATTGTTGGATTGATATACGGCTTTTTAAAGCCAAAACATTTAACTTAATCCGAACTTTTTACTTTGTAAAAAAAAGTGTTAAATACGCTTTGAAATTAAAAACATGTTTTTATCAGATTGAAAAAAAGAAACATTTCTGGTTTTTCCTTGTACCCTTTTTATTATTTTAAATTAACACGATTAGTCACTTATTCCGATTGTACCTTTACCCCTCCTGATCTTATCAGAGTTGCCCAACTTATTTTTATCGCGGCATACCGAGTGATTTCCCAGTGTTCCGGTGGTCTTGATTAACCCTGATTTATTTAATTTATGGAACTCTACAGAGACCGACAAATGTGCGCTAATCGTCAATAATGAGTTCATAGGAAAAATAATATTGTTCGAGCATATATTGTCGAAGATTATCAAAAGACGAAAATATATTCTGATCTATATTATTGTGGACGAAAAATAATGCATCAAAACGGAAACCGGAAGGTTTTTACCGCCGAGCATAATGGATAAGTAAAAAAAAAAAGATGAATTAGGTAAACACTTTATTTCAGTATAAACACGTGTGGTGTTTAGGAATACATAAAATGATCGATAGAACTTGTACGTATTAACCTGTTGTGCATTTAATTAAATAATTATAAGAATGCGTATTTTGAGAGATATAGATTAGTTTTGGATTCAAGCACATTTTCAGCATATTTTACTAATTTTTAATGAAATATTAAAGAATAATTTTTTTTTTTTAGAACATATATATTATATTAGCATCATATTAAAAATGTTTAAAAACCTAAAAGTCCGCTCTGCTTGCTTAATACCATAATATTGCAATCGGACTGTTTCGTTTTTAAATTGTCGCAATCGTTTAAATGAAGAAATGTTCGATCAGTATAATACAGTAAACAGTTGTATATTTTGTAATACACCGATGACGACGGCAGCATGTGATACGTCTGCAGCTTCCGCGCTGTCGAGAATATATGTACGAGTCGTTTCTCGATTGACCGTTTACATAATACAAAACAACAGTTTTTTATTTTTGCCTCCGGCATTCTATGGAATATCATTTAGATGTTGCCCGAGGGTTCGGTGCATGCTTTCACGTTATTTAACTTAACTATACCATACATTTCATATAAAATATTATAATAATATACACCCTCTGAATGACCGGTTGTTGTCGTAATTTTTTTTTTTTTTTTCGTAATATCGTTAATATAAAAAATATAGGTACCTAACTACACGTATGCACCCAACTGTGCGGATCGCACACGCCAGAATGACAACGAATGCTCGTGTCCTCCGAAACGACATATATTATATTGTTTCAAACGTAAATACCGCACAATATTGTTAACGGTGATTAGTTTTAAGCGTTTTTTTGTTTTTATGTTTCTTAAACTACTTCGATAATTTTAAAACGTCACATTGTATTGAATTATGCAACATTTAAATTAATTTATATATTATAATGTTTAACGTATAAATGAACGTATAGGTTATAATCATAACTTATAACCGTGCTGCGAGTTGAATGTTTTAAATCAATTCTACATGGTCACAGCGCATTTATATTATTATAAATACTATTAAAATTGTTTTAGAGAATTGTTGATGATGTAGATACACGATATAATTCAGTCGATTTAGACCTAAAAGCTAGACAAAATTATAGATATTGTACTTGATAGATTAGAATTTTGAACACGGATTTACGATTATTTAGTTTCTTTTACTAGAATATAATGTTGAATATGCAAATTGAATTATTTTACTGAAAATCGTAAATAAATATTTGATTGATTTTTGAATTAGTTTTATAAAAAAATGTTCTTAAAGTCTTTCGTCTTTTACTTACGATAAAAGTAATTGAAATTAAAAATATAACTCCAGCGTATTCTATGATGTATTATAATGCATAGGACGATGAAAATAATACTTATCGTATGTGTTGGCTACATAAAATACGCAATTTACGTTGTGCGTGTATTATTTAAATCTAGAGTTTCGTTTCTATTTTAATGAAATGTTTTTTTATAATATTTTATACAAAATAAAAAAAAATACCTACGTATAATATAATATGATTACGAAAAATAATTGTTTAAAGAAGCACGGAAAAAAAGGAGAAAAAATCCCCTGAATGAAAATGTCTGACGATATCATTGACAAAAAAAAAAAAAATAAAATAAAATATTAATTTTATTGATTGGAAAAACGAAAACGGGTTTGGGTTTGGGAAAAATCCGGATTTTGGATTTCGAAAACGGAAAATTGTATTTGATTTGTAACACCTGAAAATTATGCCGCACGAATCTGGGTTTCAATCAAAACGGCTAAATTATTATAAACCAACACCAATATATGTACGCAATGATTGTTTCCGTGTATAAACGAGTCGTCCTTATACTCACCGATCCTTTTACTCGAATACCTATATATATATATATACGCATAATGTACAATAAGATATATATTTCGACGAGAATAAAAAAAACTTCATTGAACCGTGATTTTTTTCCTCCTTTGTCTTCATAGTCCAATAATTTTTTTTTTTTTGTTATTTTTCGGTACCTACACCTACAATACCGTCTCGTTTTCTTTGTCTACAAAATGTGTACAGACGATACACTGTCTAATTGTCTGACGTGCGACACCGCGACTTTGACGAGACTACCGTACTGCCGTCCGCGTTTCCGTCGTTTACAGGCCTCCCACGGAGACCGCCGCTGCGGCCGGTTCCGGGTACCTACCCGCGCAGCGTCAACGCACGCTCCGGCGTAACAACGCGTCGGCAAGAAGCCGGCCGGACCGTTGTGCACGAACGATAATAATTGTGATTGTTTCAAACTGCGTTCGCGTTACGACGGCGGCGGGGCTCGTGCACTGCAGTGGCGAGAACGCGGCCGCGGCGTTATCCCGGGGGGGTATCACGTGTGCGCGCGGTATTTGACCGGGCGAGACGCGTCGTACGGGCCACAACAATATTATTATGCCTGGTATAATTGTAAGCCGTTTACAAATGATATTATTACGACTATTGCCGGAGCGCGGGTAGGGGGGAAATAACGGCGATGAGAAAAAAAAAAAAAAAAATCCGCGGCCGGAGAAATGCGCCTTCGTCGTCGGAAGTGAATGACGTTTGTGCGAAGCCACACGCGACGAAAACGATTAGGTTCGGTCGGGGAAAAACGTCATCGTCGCCGCCGTCGTACCGGCGTTACCGTACAGAACGATTGCTCCGCGGCCCGGCGGACGGGTGGGAGTGGAGGGGGGGGGAAAGCAGTAGATGAGACGAGAGGAGGGGTCGACGATGTACCGACGACGACGTGACGACACTCTCACGATTGATGTGCAGCACTCGAAACGGTCATGAGAAAAATATTAAACGCGCCGCCGCCGCCGCCGGGTAATTTGTCGCCGTCGTCATCGTCGCCGAGACTCTCCTGCACACTCGGCCGCGGCCCTTGCGCAATCCGATAAAATGGAAAATACCAAATTAACGATAATAATCGGCGGGCACCTTAACACGGCGGATCCACGGCCGAGTGACGACGCGAGAACTCGGCTCGACGACACGGCCGGTGGGTCGATTCGGTTCCGTAATGCCCAAAGTGCGTACGCCCCGCGAAATCTGCCGAATTCAGACTAATTTCAAAATTGTGTATTACTCCTGCCTCCTGCCACGAAAAAAATTTAAAAATATTTATACACATGATAGTGTGTAACGAAAAACATTAATAATAATACGATGTATAAGTTAGTTGCGTATGGTGGTTATGCGGTGCCTACCTACACGCTCACTACTAAACCCCGACTTGTGGCCGTCGTCACGAATTTGATTTCTAATAATATAATATCTATAGAGAAAAAAAATTCTAATATAATATATTATATACTTACTTAGATTTGCGGCCGTACGTTTTTGTTTATCGCACGACATTTATAAGAGAATATGGTATAAAATATTATGGGTAGGTGCTATACCTCGTGCGCTCGCACATTCCATTTCGACCGATCACGAACGGAAAACCTATAATAATAATAATACTTCGTACACCTAAAATATGGCTGTGAATTTCGGATTTTACAATCATTCGGGTTTTTGTGGATTTATTATTATTATTTTTTTAATCAATCGATTATAATCGAGTTAAGACTGTGATAAGGGCGGATAAAAGGGGAGGGCTATGAAGCTGAAAACCACCTACCCATTAACATATAGGTACTTTAAAATTAATAGAAGCTTAAACCACATTTTTCATTAATGAAAGCTTACCGTATTAAAAGTAATTTTTTAACGCATGTGAAAAGTCTATTTTTCTAGCCCTTTTCCTCTTATAAAAATCCTAGATTCACTCGTGGGCATTTATAGCAAAACTACTTTTTTTCAGTTTCTTATGTTAACGTGTAATTACGAAACAAATTTCCAGGTGAGTAAAACTATACCATACGTATGAAACATCAAATCGAGAATATAATAACCATTTAAAACTTTTTCAACGAGTCGTTTTTTTCGTAATTTTTTTTAATTCTGTGAGTTTCTCACGACTCTCAGTGTCTTTATTGTGAATCGCTTTTTTGGAGAATCTCGTATGGATTTTAATGGTTTTCAATTTGTAATTCGTATAATATTGTTTTCGTCCATTAAACGGTACTATAATAACCGGGCGGCCCGGATCGAGATGCGAACCTACACACACTGTATTAAATTGCCGAATTCGTGTGCGTATGTTTTACCGTAAAGGTACATATGAGGAAGGAATGCACAGGTGATTTTATATAATATATTATATTATATTGGAATATACGTCACGCACATTCGATTATCGTAACGCAAGCACGTGTCATATTATTATTATTATTATTATTATTATTATTTATTATTATTATTATTTATTATTATTATATTGTACAACGTGTAAATTCTATCCGAAACGGGAAAAGTTTACAAAATGACATAACCATATACGCTAACACGTCTCTATAGTACACCTCTCCTCTCTTATTAGTGTATTATATACCTACCTACCATAATGTCGGCTGGTGGTACTGTCACACAGCTCTGTAGGTAGGGTACAGGAATCTATCGCCGGGTCCGGTTGATCGCTTCGTCAAGGTTGTGGTTACGTTCGTTCTTCGACACATTATTATATAGCAAGCTGCAGTAGTGTTCCGTAATGATTAATTTTAGAACGTTTACAACGATTTATACTATACCGATATAAACGACGCGTGTATAGACGACAAACCGAGAAAAACCTATTAAAACTCGATATTACCTACGTACTTCCATTACATTACACAATTCGCGTACGGGTTAGTATATTAATCTTAAATTACAAGTAAGTAGCGGGTAAGTAAAGAAAGAGAAAAAAATAAATGTTATGTGAACAGCGTTATTGCAACGTTCGATAATATACAATAAATATACCTATACAGATAGTTATTAGATTTTGATTCTAAAATTTAAAAAAAAAAAAAAACCGTCTGATTGAATTTCCAAAGTAATTAGTACAGGTATCTATGTAATACCTAGGAAAAAAACTCTCAGATATAATTTAATTTTGACCGCAGTAAACAATGGCCGACTGTAAAAATATATATCTCACTCTATATTATTTGTTATTAAAACGACTGGGAAAAAACTTATCGAAATTTTCTTTGTTTAATTTTAAACGTGCAAACAGACTTCCTGGTCGTTGCAATTAAACAAATAAAACCATCTGACTGGAAATCCTACTGCGGTTATTATATATTATAATATTATATTATTGATTTGTGAGTGAAAATGTAATCGCCGTGTAATATTGTACCTACTGTATGAAAAGATGTGTGCGTTATAAAAATGATTGGCAATAAAATGTCATTCCTGTGCAATTTTCAGGTATCGACGATCGAGGAACGGGTAACAGCGGTATATTATAGTGTAATGACCCGTGGGTTTTCCAGCGATTTGTTCGAATTTGCATTCGTGAAAGTCCCAAAATGGTTTTACATAATATGCAGTGTACTTCGAAATAACGATCCCACGACATTGGTTTGGAGTATAGTCGGTGTTGTTAAAATCCAATTCTTGGAATTAGTTATTTTTTTGTTGTTCAATGAACTGGCCTTGGAATAATCGTTTAAAAATTATTAAACAATAAATTAGAAGTGGAATGATATCCTATTTTACTCCATGTAATAATGTGAATGCAAAATTTTATCAATCAGAATGATAGGTTTTACCTTGTTCTCTTAGAATAAAATGAAAAACAAAATCATTTATTTTTGATCAATAACATGACTATTATTATTGTTTTTTTCGTGAAACTATGTTTGGTTAAATCATATCATCATTTCAGTTCTACCTTTTATTGTAGAACATCTATTTATTTACTTAAATGCTGTATTAAAAAAATGATTAATATTTAAAAACAAATAATCACAAATAATCTCTCCAAACAACAATTATTACAAAAAAGAACGGTACACCTAGCGATTTGCAGTCTAATTATAATATATCCGAGCTATGACGTAATAATAATATTACTTAACACCTGTGAATTTTTCACTTTTTATACAACTGCTGTTTTATGGAAATCTTAATTGAAATAATTGCAGCCACGAAACATAATCCATGTGAAATTTTAAAAATAATTTCTATCGCGGTAATATGCGTGAGGCGCGGACACATCTTCAGCAAAAGGAGCGTATAGCCCGAGAAGATATAGAGGTTAAGAGGTTTGATCTCCCCCCTCCACTTTTTTTTTCATCTTAACTGTCGTAGAAATTAAATTTATTATTCAACGTTAAATCCAATAAGGACAAAAATTATTTTCAATATAATATATTATTATAACAGTCTCAACAGGCTTTGTTTGTACAATCAATGTACATTTAGTTTTGACTGAAAAAAAATGTCCGGAGGGTCCCAGAGAACTGCGAAAATCCGAGAATCTTACTACCTCTCCTATTCCACCTTTTATTCGCACCTCCCCCCCCCCTCCTTCAACGATCATTTATACGCCTCTGTTCAGTACGGACGTGCAGGTAAACAGCGTCGCCGTCGTCAGCTATATCCGTGTATCTTTTCCACGCGCAATTTATTATCGATGGGCACATAACCGTCGAAAATTAAGAGACGTTCCTCCGGCGGCCCGAGAAAATTAACGTCTTCGCGTCGCGGTCGTCGCCGTCACATTACCGATTTTCTCTGGTCGCCGTCCGCGTAAGTGTACAGGTACGTACGCATACAACGGACGTGATCGACGACGACGACGACGACGACATTGTAAAACCGCGAGCTCGCGCGCGCCCGCGATTTGCATCGATTGTTACGAAAGGAATCCTTTCTTTCGCAGGTAGGTATAAACCGCGCGCGGAGGGCACACGGGCACAGCACATATTGTTATTATTATTTCGTCAGTATCGTGGTTTCTCGGCCGTCAACCGCGGTTCTGTCCGAATAATATTATGCACACCATACAGATATAGGTATTGTGGGTGTACCGTGCGAAACGGCCGAACGCAAAACGGTATAAATAACTACGCGAGCGCGCGGGCACGCGCGAGCGCGTTTCGCGTTCACCGAACACCGATAAACGAAGGAAAAACAAATTGCGATAAATATCGGATCCGGAGGACTCGGACGCTTTACCCGGGCGATGAACATCGGAAAACCGATCGGTGTATTGTTATATTATACGCTATCGGTTCGAATTCAACCGCGGCCTACGCGACCGAAGTGGAAAACCCGCTGCTTTTTATCGTCGCGTGGTTTATCATCGACGGTTAGTTTTTAGGGTTTTCCGCTTGGGTTGGAAGAAACTAATATTTATTTTTCTTCTGCGGTTCCGGGAACAGTTCCCCAAGCGATCCCTGAAGTTAGTGATAAACGGAAATAGCACACCTATACTCGCGTATTTTTCTCTTTCGACCTTATTCCTCTTCGTCTGCGCATCCCACCCAGCTACTCTACATGCTCACTCTCCGCATTTCCACTGTCATTTTTTTCGTGTACTGCTACACCCCACTCAAATCACCAGTCTCCGCTAATAATACATTTGTCCAGTTTGCCCAGCCCGGCTGCCGTCTTTTCATCCTGTCTCCTTCTTCATTGCGCCACGTATACCCCATGTCTCAATAGATTCTCTCTCGTTTTTCCTTCTGTGCCTATACCTGGCTACTCCTAACATAATATTGACTACACCCAACGTATGCTGTTCTTGCGACGAATCCACGTAGATACTGGTACCTATATAATCGTATTACGTCAGACACGCCCACGCACAACACACCCCTTAGTTAAGTGTATACCCACCGCGTATATATAAATGGGAAATTTTATTAACGACGTATTATTGCCGTAATGTCCGTCGTTTGTCAACCGTGCTCTCGCTCGCGGCGCAAACATCAAAGGACTCGTGTGTTCGGTGTTCGGTCTCTAGAGGCCGCCAAGGCGCCAAACCCGTTCCCGGGATCGGTCGGGAACGCCTACCCGGAACCTCCGATGTCTGTACACGTCCTATAATAATAATAATAATAATAATAATAATAACAATAATAATGATAATAATGTGTATAAACGTATAGGTATACTCGTATAAAACGGACGGCTATATAGTAGATGAGTTATCCGGCACACAGCAATACAGCATCTCTCCTCGGCCATTATTGTTATTAGGAGTAGCTAGGTAACCACAATATCAGACTTGACCTGCACGCGGTCAAACACGAATATACTGCAATATTATTATCCACCGTAATGACACGCGATGAGGTTGGATCGGCGGAATCGTGGCCCTCGGACAAATTCCCGGACAAATTCCCGGACAAAAAATATGTGTAAATTAAGTTTATAGAAGCTTAATGTATAAATAGGTATGTAATTAAAAAAATCATACTACTCGTGTAGCTACATTAACATCTACGAATTCAGGTTATATTACGATGTACTGATGTAGGACGTATATGTATACCTATACATATACTAGTAAAAACGTTACTTTGTTCGTACAGGATACTGCATGTTCAATGCAAATGGGTCACTGTTGTAGGCGGCAAATTGGAAAGGTAGTTATTATATTTTTGGTTCCAGAGATAAATGTCTTCTAGTCTTAAGTCAATTTTATATAATTTTGAAAATACATATACTTATGTCAACAAATGAAGGGAAAAACGTTACATACCTAAGCCAAAACTTAATTTCCAAAAATTGACTCGAGCCCTTATTTCAAAGGACTAAAACTGTAATATAGGATAATTATGCTTTATACATAACTATACGTGATGACACAGAATTTCAACTTAAAAACGCTGATAGTTTAATAAATTACAAATATTTTTACACTTGTAATTCGTATGATCATCGATGATTGTTAGTGACGAAAAGACGAGTAACGAGTAAAAGTACCTATACTTCATTAGAATTCGAGAAATTCAGAAATACAATATTGGATTTGTCATTTGTCATTATTTTATTACATCATACAGGTAGGTACTAAATTTCTTAACTTTTTTATTCAAACGTTATTAAAATAAAAATAAAAACGTTTTCTTCCAAACATCGAGTTCGGCTCATCGGACCACGAGGATTCAAAACTGCCATTATTTTCTTTTTACACCCGCAATTACACCGCGGATGGATGACTCCTGTCACTATCGAGGAACTGATATTGCATTTTTTATATCGCGGTGTGCGGCAACGTCACGCGATTAACGACTGTGTCGATCCCGTCGGATGGTAAAAAACGAATAGGCGATTAAAAAAAAAAAAAACGGGCTCTGCCGGTTCTCTCTCCTGCTTTGTCGATCGTTTTCGTCGACTAATAACAACACGAAACCGCGTTATCGATCGCGACTCATAGTGCCATGCGTTTTTTTATTATTATTATTATTATTGTTACGACGTGTTTCCACCTACACATGAACACACACGAGTTTAAATGACGTGACAAAACTAGTGTTCTTAAGTATGGTATATGTACTTATATATTATATACATTGAAAAATACATATACCTATTCGCTTCCGCTTGAGGTATCATTTAATATAATCTAAAATACATAAAACACTACATTACAATAGTAGAATGTGGTTTGCGGGGCTTGGATTTTATAACACTAAAAAGTACTGAAATATGTGCTATAAAATGACGTATAAAAAAAGTTAAAATAAGTACGCCCTAAATAAACCATTAAAATTAGCAAAAATAAAAATATAATAAAATAGACATTTATTTTTTAATTATTATTTTCTATTCATTTCTATTAATTTATCAACAGGCCACTATGCCGGGCTACCTAAAAATAAATTATAATGTTAAATATTATTTAGTTAAACGGAAATGTAGTTGTTTTTCATCATAAATGATAAATTTCATTCAACTTTAACGAAATTTATGAAAAAAACTACATAAATCATTACATTATAAATGTCCGCAAAAAATATCATTAAAAATCTAAAATTCTTCAAATACCTATGGAAAAATTAGCAATATCGAATTTTATATTTGGAGTCCCTGGTGCATAAAATAAATGTATAGCTCATACTCTGCTATGTTTATATGTATCCTATAACAGTTTATAAATTATGCTATAAAATCCAAACCCTGATGATTAACGATTACCTATAATAATTATAACAAAATCAGTATTTTAGTACTATAAGTACTTTATAGTACTTCACTTTTGCGGTAATATTTGACTTAAATATAAAAAGTTATTGGTACCTATATCTACCTATAACCTATAATAGGTATATAATAAAATTATTTTTTTTTTTTTGTATCAAAATTTAATTTTGATTTTCTGATCGATTTTCATAATAATTGGAAAAATTTAGAAAAATAACGTATAAGACAAACGAACAAATGTTTTTGGTGGCGTAACAATTTCATTATATTTGATTTTTACGATTTATGTTTTGCACCAGAAATCTTGCTACAAATTTCAAAAGTAGCATTTTTTCTGAAAAAATTTGACTAGTTACTGTATACATTTTGATAATTTTCTTAATAATTGGGTATACATCGGAAAAAAAGGGAAAGTTTACGGCATTAATGATTTCATTAGTTTTGATTTGGATTTATGAAATTTCCACACAATATTAGCGTTTTTTAGTAGTGGTCGTATTTTCAAATTCTGGCTTTTTTAGGCCATTTATAGCCATTTGACATGTTTGGCATGCTCTAGAAATGTTTCGGCAGTGTGACGTTTACTACATCACCGCATTATGTCAGTGATCGTGAGTTTTGAAAATGATATACGGTGTGTCTAATAATACGAGTATAGTATACATAATATTTTTTATAGTTTTTTTATTATAATACATAGTATTTTATCGACACTATTAATTTTACGTGCACCTACACACACGAAATCAAATGGACCGTACCCTAGACATTCGTATACTGTACAGCAGATACCGAGTGTCGTTTAATATACGTAAAACACCCTGTGCGGTGCGAAACGACTACCCGTAGGAGTGAGTGGACGTCGCCGTTGTCGGTTATTGAACCGCGCAGACCGTCTAAATATATATATATATTTATGTATCCCCAGGGCGTATAAATAATAATATATGGAAAATATTTTCAGAAAAAAAAAAAAAAAAGCCGTTTTAATATATATACCTGGGTAGTATAAATTAATAATTGGTCGGGTACAGCGTCCCGTCGCGGATAACTATTCACTATAACCTACACCAATCTACAAAGTCAACGTATATATTATTATTTATTATTTTTATCCTCTCTGCTAAATCGCATTATAATATAGTCGCATGTCAAGTGTTACGCTAAGATATCTTACATAATAAAATGTCTATTTGCATATTCGATTGCCCGCCCGACGGGGTAAACGAGCGGGAGAGATTGTTATTTTATTCATTTTTTTTTTTCTCTCTTTTGCGAACACATAAAATTGTAGGTGCCCACCGATACGCGTACACCTGCAGCTACTATTTATACCGCCGTGATACAGACCCGTCGTTCATTAAACGCGTTGACTTATCGTACCTATAGGTATACAAAATAATAATAAGAGCCGAGAGTTCACTGACCGTTTTGCGTCAGACAAAAATAATACTATAAGGTCCGCGATGCAAAACGTGGTCGTGCAGTATATTTTAGTATTGGATAGGCGACAAATCGGTTTTTGATAATAATAACGACGACGTTTCTATTATTGTGAACGGTGATTTATGCGTGGCCGCCATTTGGAATCCGCGAAAAAACCACCGCGCAGCCTCAGCAGCTGCGGCAAGAAGACTTGCCACGCCGTGATGTAAATCCGATCACCGGCATTATATTTACCATAACATGCCTCATAGTATACGCACAACAGGTGGATAATATTGTAAACCCGAATACAGAACCCGGAACTCGATTCGTTATACCGTTAAGTCATCGCGCTGACGTTATCGCGCTTCGTTGGGCGTGTGTAACTGCCGGTTTCCCATCGTTTTACCACCTATATTACAGTTGATAAATTAATATTAGATATGTCGATTTTAAACGTACATATACGAAACGAATCATTCCCGGTCGAGATCCGCACGCGCGTGTACGTCATTTTTAGATTCTGAGCGCAGCTCATAGGAATTATGTGCATGCGTTGGTTTTGCTATATATTGTTTGTTTTTTTTTCCATTGGCAAACCGTTTCTCCACAAGAATTATTGCTCTGATTTTCAAGTGTACAGATTCTTTTCTAAAAGCAAATTGTTCTATTTGATGTACTGAAATAATTGTTCTTAATAATCGGAAAATCCCGGGGAAAAACGGAAAAGTTTACGGCAATAACGATTACATAGTTTTTTGTTGCGATTCGGTTGATAATAATTAAAGGAGAGCTAAAAAAAAAAAAAACCGCCAATTCGTTTATCGAAAATACAAAGTAATTCGACTTTCAAAGAATTATAAACAAACAATATTATATGATAGGTGTATAATATATTTTTTTTTGTTTTGTTTCGCGTCGAGATCTGTGATTGCGTTTCGTTTTCACTCTTGCTTCCCGTCGGCAAAGTCCTCTGGGAAAAAACCTCGAACAATACGCGGGTTCGACGAAATCCTCGCAGTATCATAATACTTACACTAGAATGTTATGTGGACGAAGGTCTTTCGGACCGGATGCGTTTAAACGAGACGCACACGCGACCTTGCCGTTTCCTGTGTATAGGTGTCTATACATAGTGTACACAGCTATAGTGCAGGCGAGAACTTTTTTGAAGCGCGCGTGTTGCCTGTAGAATTAATATACACAAACGGCAAACGTAGGCATGTCATATTGTTATTATACAAACATGTGCGATGACATCATCAGCTGCTGCGGTGGCGGCGAAGTCTGCCCACAGTTGTACGACCGGTTGTAGGCGGTTATGTGGCCCACGGAGCACACCTACTTTCACTCATTATTATATTGTCGTCGGCCGACAGCGGCGCACATAATAATATTTTATTTTATATTATAATATTATACATACATATATTTTGTTTAATAACGCAGAGATTTTGTAATTTCCCGTTATTATGTAGAATATTATATAGGTAGTGGCGAGGAGGAGGCGGCTTTATAGATGAGGCGAGTGACGGCTCCGCCGTCTCGTATACGTGTTTCTTATACACACACCGCGGTTAGACGTCATTTTTCGAACATCTTAAAACGGATTACGTTCGAAACATCGTAAGCATAAATTATATAGATCGGTTTTAGGAAAAAAAAAAAAAAAACCAAAATATTTGATCTGATAACTGAAGATATAACCGAAGCCTAAAATCAACAGAGAATAATCAACGATACCAGCACCACGTATGCGTTTTATATTCCTGATATTATACTGCCATCTCCGTGTATATTAACACCGCCGCTCTTTGTAATTTTCGAAATATTCGTCTCAGCGAGTTCTTACAATACACGCGTTTCGGGCGAGCCACAAAGATCTTTGATAATATTACATAAATACCCAGGGGTGGATACAAAGAGTTTCGGCTGAGCGGTCCCTAAACACGTCGGTACTTAAAAAATAGGACTTGTGCTAAATTATATTAATTATATCGCGTTACATTAAGGTTAACTTCTAGCAAAAATACATTTTTAACGCATATGAAAAGCGATAAAGATTAAGAACATAAAATTCGGTCGTCTCATCGGTATAGGTATGTTCCGTCATAATAGATTTTACTTTCATCCGCCGCCGCCCCGAATTTTCAGGAGTAAATCCCGTGACCGTGAAACTAACGCTCGCGACGGAAAAATTAATAATATTCTTCTTCTTACATTCGTTCTTCCAACGTTATTGTTTTTTTCCTATTTTCGAAAACGACGGGCTGCTACAGTGAATTACACTGAACGTGTGCGGAGACCACGTTTAATTGGCCGTGTCGCGTGTCGCGGGCGGCGTAATAATATAATCTCCGATCGATCGGAAAAGGTGCCGCCACGTGATTCCGAATGTTTTTTTATGGCTGTTATACCTGGTGAACAGTATCTTCCTCTTCGCCTTATAGATCCAATACGATATAGCGATTCAAACGTTATTGAATAATATGGGTAATATCCGAATCGATCGGTAATCTGAAGTAAAACTATATGCATTTCGGTACGCTCGCAGCATAATTCGAAGTAAAATCCGGGGTGAATATTTTTCGTAGTTACTGCTTCAATCTTTATTTTCAATCCGCAAATTGCTGCGTTTATGCCATGTTTCTCCGTTTTTTCTATCCGTATAATGTCTCCCTTTAGCCCCTGCTATGACGCTTGCTTATTTCCAACAAAATTTGTAAACATAAACTTATGCCTGCTTCGTCTTCATTTCCTTAGTTCCCTTTCAACCATTGTGGTTATTCGTATATTGTTCCTTATGTGATGTTCTATCTATTTCTTCCTTATTCTTTCAACGATTGTCTTCCGTGTATAGATCTACTATCGTGTTTCCACTTAACTCTCGGCAATTACTCGAACAGTCGTTTCACCGTAATTGCCGAGCGTTCAATGACCTTTCGTATATTTTATCAATCATCGTTATTTTTTCATATTTATAACTTTCGGTTAAGTTTTGTTGTTTGCTTTCTCGATTTAACGGACTTCTTAGCAATATAATTCGAACATTCGATGAGTTTTTGTCCTTCTCCAACTTGGAATACTCATCATGTCAATAATTTAAATACTATACACTCAATTAAACACATTCGACAATTGCAAACTTCCGGAAGAACATAATGATGAAAAAAAAAAAACTTGTTGCGAAATTATAATAACAGAACATCAATTCTCCCCTTCCCCCTTATTTCGACCCATCGACCCACGGCTACACGCAAGTAACGCTTTCTTGTTATTCGACGGTACTATTGTTTACCTATTGGTATATCCGTACCATTCTTGTATTCCGTCCAGCCACGGCGACGACCGTATATACATATATACATATATAGTGAAAGTATAAATGCATAATATTATAGCATAGCATAAATAATAATATAGTACAAACAATACGGACGTAGAGGTTATGATTTTCATATGATTTGTTGGCCGTGATAACGCACGCGTTTTATACGCGTACTCTATTATAGGTGCCCGTATATTTATCGCTCTTTTTTGTCTTGCACAGGTACCTATATAGTTTCCTCCAGAATGATAATGAATAATGAATACCTATAGTATTTTTTAGAAGCTCGGTTAAAATCCAACCGCTGTCTGTTCTCTCTATATGCGCACTGCAATCTGCAGACGAGATTAACCATCCGCGGTGTGTTACACGCTTTTAAACATGACACCGTCAAGCTCCGCTGATGGGTTTTTAACCCTATATAAACTGATATTATCTTCATATCATTTTATATTGTTTTATATATTATAGGTACCATCGTACTTTAATCTTTATCTTTATCTTTATCTTTGCCGCGGGCATATCTATATAGCCGTACGGTCAATAATGAACTAGAAGACTGCACGCTGTATCTATAATATTGAAATTCTGCGAATGTCAAAAAAATAAAGCTGAAAACGAGAAACATCGATAAAGTTTTTGGACAGTTGTTTTATTCACCGAAGAGAATCTAATTGTTAAAGAAAATACTGTTCTTTTTATACATATAAACATAAACCGATTAAACCGATTATAAATCCTCCCCTTGATTCTATATTATATCAAGTCGACCATTACACTATATAGGCTATAATATAACTAATATGAAAAAAGAAAATGTATTACATTTAATAATTTACGCGTGTTATTTTCTCGTCGAAAATATTTGGCAAACCGGACGACCGCCAGACATTGCAAAGTACAATATTATACAGGTAGGTGATCGTATATTATGTGTTCTGCCCACCGCGATAAATGATATGTAACCCTGCAACTATACAGTGTCCGGTTAGGTTAGTTTTAGTATTCGGATACAAATGCAAGGCGTTGAAGTATGGTATACATGTTGGATTTCCTATACGGCTTATTATAATATAAGAGTATAATATATTAGTAGGACATAGGTACTTACACATATTGTTGGTTAGCGCGTGTTTATTTCAAATGTACCTAATCGTATAACAAAATATTCTGTACCCGTTATTCTCATATTTTTATCATAACAAACTGACTCCACGGATACTTTGTTGGGGCACAGAGATTTACGAGCATATATTTGATATATGATGGTTTTTTTTTTTCTTTCGGTAAATCAAATACCGTTATATTGTATATGCAGCGATCATAGGTCACACACGGATCATAATTAATAACGTAATACATTATTTAATCATATCTCAATCGTAGCGGTGAAAATCCGATATAATCGACGTCAAGGTTAACGAATATTGTGTTCACTCGACTTAATGATTTCAATAGATAAAACTATTAATCAAAACGGCGTTTAACGTTTGCCGATAACCACTTAAATGGATATACGAGACAAAAACGTCATAATTTTTAAACGATATTCGATTGTTTTGTTTTTTTTTTTTTTTGTTAGCTTATTTATCTGGTAGATATACTATAAATTATGATAATATAAATATATACGAGTATATACAAAGTCATTATTCATTATTTAGTCAGTGTATACATTTAGTATTATTTTAATTTTTAGTACCTGAGATAATGTGTAGGTAATTATTTGTATTTTATTTAACTCCAAACAAGTTTTCTACCAGAAATACGAGTTTTAAATTGAATATAATATTAACACACACACGAACTCCATAAAGGGTCAACAATTGTGATGCCTGATTTAGTATTTATATTGAAGAAAAAGTTATCAAAGGTGTGTGAAATTTTATACTACATAGTGTTAGTCAAAAAATACTCATCACAAAACTTGAAATTTATATGACACCTATACTTAAAAAACGTTATGACTACCAATGGTGGCAATGAGAAATACATAATATATCTGACTACGGTTCTCATACGCAATTATCGTTGAACTTCGTCGTAACAATAAAACTACAACAATATACACCAATCATATTATATTATTATCTAGTTTCGAAAAGAAGACAGGAATGCCAGGTATTTGAATAGCTGGACCATATTATTATACTATAATGTTACTAACTACCTAAGTATAGAAAAAAAAATAGAATAGAACATCGGTATAGGTATACTTAATTGTATACTGGCACTTTAATATAGTTACAAAACTAGGTATACGTGCTTTAATCACATAATATAACAACACGCAAACAACACACGACTTGAAACGCGTACAATTTTATTTTATTTATTATGCTATTATTTTCCTATAATATTTAACCTGGAATTGTATGCCGAATTCCGTAATTTTTTACGATTTTCATCATAATTTATAATACCCTGAGAACAACTTGTTATATACCTTGTATCAAATTATAGAACATTTTTGAGAAGCCAAACAAATTATATTCACTTAAAATGAAAATGAAAAAACTCGAAAATTTCAAATGGCTACAAATAGCTCAAAAATCGCCAGGAAATTTTGACTGCACTTAGAAAAAATGTATATAATTGTTCGGTGAAAATATAAGAGTAGTCTTCGGAATTCTTTTAAATCGAATAACAAGAAAAAAACAAAATCAAAAATTACCTCATCAATACATCAATTAAACAAAATTTGCTATTCGCAATAATCTCTAAAGTTTCTATGATCTGAGTAAAATTTCAGATAGAAAAGTTGTTTATAGTCAGAAAAAAGCACATATCATATAGTAAAACCAATAGACACCGATCGTTACGGTCAGAATCTAAAACTCATGAACAACCATTGTAACAAAATTATATAGTTTTAAAATTTAAAAGCCTATCGACGCGTATTTATTTTTTAAAATAGTTATATGAAACTATTAATTTAACTTAAATAACCGTACACAACAGTATGTAGATTGCCAAAATACTTTTGAGGCTATAGAGCCGAATCAAAACAGATTAAATCCGTATTTACAAACAACAAGAATTACCTATTTAAACGTAGCTAATTATTATTTACATATCAATTATAAACCATTGAAAAAACAAATCTTAAATAATACATATAAACATCGAATTACTTGCAGCTGCAAGTCGTGTTTGAATTAAAACTAGTATTATGATGTATTATTCAGTGGGTGTATACCATTCTCAAGCTGTGACAACACTGCAGTGTGGCGTCATGTAGCTGTGTTTTTATTACTATATTAGGTTATACATAATAATATTATGTTTAATATCCACGGATTTAATATTAAATTTAACATATTATAGTATTCGGTTTAGCTTCAAACCACGATTTTCGTTTCAAATAAAAAACATTTTTTTTTTTTTTCGTACCCTTGACGGACCGAGAACTACGTTGGTATTACTTCCAGTCCGCCACCATCGTTATTGAAAATAAAACACATGTAACAAATTACTAAAATAAAGAAATTGTTTTTTTTAGTTTTTTACCAAAACATAAAAATATAAATGTTTATAGTCTTTGTTCTTGTAGGTAGCATAAAAAAAAAAAAAAACAGAATTTAACTATCATTATTATATCAGGAGATATTACAATGGTTATACATCTTCATGGGACATTTTTTATAGATCTACTTACCAGAACTTGCGCTAACAACGTACAGTTTTAAATTAAAATGAGCAGTTATAAGTGAAATGTTTTGCAGTTCTTAAAAAATATTACAAATTATTTTCTTCAATGATTGCAAGAAATAAGTCTTAAAATCATCAAAAGTAGGTATAGGTACTTTAACGTAGTACGTATTCATAGCACGCTAAAAATAACCAACGTAAAAATAGCGATAAGATGAAAAGAAAAAAGTAATTTTGATATTTAATTCGTAGTGAAGGTTAGAAAATTCCTTAAATCAGTTTAAAAAAATGTTAAGCCCTTAATTTTTTTTCTCTATTTAAACAGAAAAGTTCTAAATTCATTTTTGTTCAAGCTCTAATAGTTTCTTTATATTATTGAATTATTATTCAATGAATGGAACTAATATAATATGACATACTTATAACGCCTATCGGGAACGTTTTTCCATGATATTTTATTCATACAATGTTACAATAAAATAATTATGTTGCATCGGAAAAACTGTAGTTTCGAAAAATAGCATAAAACCGTAAAAGACATAAAATACAGTGATAAAGAATAGAAAACCATCTGGTACACGAAAGCGATTTAAAAATCTATAAACCGTTAGAAAAAAAAAAACTTAACATTTCCGATCGTGATGGCGGAAATGATAGCGTTACTATAATGGCATGCGTATAGTCCGTGGAATTATGAACACTGAATCAGTATTGTATTTGTGTTTAATAATAATTTAAGGGACCTAATATACAGAGTGTAACTATTTTATTTGAAATTTTTACATTGTAGTTACATGTAAAAATGTCAAATAATCCTATTGGCTATTACATCCTGTATATATATTGTATTTGTATAATTTATAGCAACATTAAATGTCTTAAGAAACTCGGTGCCAACGCGTTCTTTGGTTTAAAACCACGCCTTATGGGAAAAACTCTCATGCCTAGCATAGAGTGAAGATTTCCAACAAATCGTATTGAACTTATTTTTCAATATTTTCATCTCAAACATTTTAATGCGTAATTAAAAAAGATCAATTTTAGATTCTAAGTGGTTTTACAGTGATGTTCATTTATTTTTGTTTTTTTTATGTGAACCCGTTTTCTACCAGAAAGCATACTCCGATTATCAAGTATAGCACCTTTTCTGAAATTGAATGTTCTCTGAATAGTACTTTAAAGAGGTTTTTTTTTGAAATTCTCATTAATATTCGAGATAATGTGAAAAACCTGGTTCTTTTTAAAACAATATCATTGTTGTCATGGAAACGCACATTGTTTTAATCATTTTACCATAGTGACCTTCCATATGACATATATATGTTGACAAAGCAACACTATCAACTGAGCTCCGCTCAGAATCGTTTTTATCGTTATCAATGGTTTATCGTTACCCTAATATTTATAAAACACAACACGTAAACAAGACCAATTATTATCTATCTCACTGATAGTCTCCTAAGATATTGAAAAGTTAAATTAAAGAAGTATTTATCAGTAAATATACATAACAAAACTATGCGAATGATGCGTACCTGAAAATTGTACGTTTGTGAATGAATTCTCGCCTTCCTGCCTTGAACAATATATAAATATATCTCGAATATTTTAAGCCATGAACAGTGTCGAATAAACCTCTGTGAAATAAACAAATAGGATTTACAACTATTGTGAGCAACCGCGACCATTTTGATTTCGTTAAAATTAAATTTCAGTAAAATTTCACTGTTAAAGTATTGGTAGTCGTATACGCTGGTGAATTTCGGCACTGCTACTCTTGGCGAACGATTCTCGAGCCGCTGGCACCTGGGTACTTCATTTTAATTATACATGGGTTACTTATACAGGCACGGTACAATTGTGCGTGCTGCGTCCAATAGAATAAAGTTCTAACGAAAAAATAATTCGAAAAACGGTATATTTTTCTATATTATATATGAACAGTTTGTAAAAAAAAAAAAAATAAACTTTTTGTTATGAATAATTATGATGAATCGATGAAAAGGTATTCATATAGGTACCTCAACAGGAATGAACAATTGATTTGAATTATAATAATAATAAAAAAAAAAAAAAAAATAAATACAATTTATATACAAGGACAGTTATAAATACCGTTTTATCGAGCGTGCGTTCTATAAGAGACGGATTTAAAATTATAATAATTTAAAAACAATGGTTAACTGATTATCATTTAGAATATAGTCGCGAAGTAATATAGGTACTATAAGACGTACATTATATATTTGTAACGTGGAATGAATAACTTATTTGTTACTTTATAATACGATGCGAGTGCTGATAATAATTAAAAACAGTGAATTTATTGCGTCAAGAGCAGTTATAAGGTGTGCGTTTATAGTGAAACGTGCATATGTACATGGGCGCATGAATATTCTATCCTTGGAACGTTCAACGCGTTGCCGCAAGGAAATTAAATCATGCAAAATTAATATGACAAATCGTTTCAATAACTCGTAAATAGGTACGTTTATCTCAAATATCCCTTTGAATGGCGTTTTTTCTGTTTTACGTAAACAGGTCATGTTTTTTAAATACAAATTGTGCGAATGCACACAGTAAATAGGTTACGTACAACCATATTGCAAGCATATTTGATCGAAGACTAAATTTGAATAGATTTGTTGAGTTGACAAACTATCAATTTTTTTTTTATAAAAATTACGATGTCGACTAACCAGGACAAAAGAAACACCGTGTATTTTACGGGGACACTGCTAAAGAAAATCGTCTCAAATCGAGACACGCATCGTTATAGGAGATCGCCTAAACACAACACAAGAGACCGAATATTTATGTGATTGATTTTATTTGACCGTAAGTCTATTATAGGTTATTGTAGCTGAATGACATGAGCAGTTTGGCCAACTTATAACCAACATAGGTATATTTTAATATTTATATCTTACACTAATTCACACTATTGTCACATTAATTGTAAAACTCGATAAATAGAAACCTAATATTGGTCTTGAGATATCATCACGCGATAAAAACGCCGTGTTCAAATATGAATTATCTTATCAGCAATAAATTAAAACCGTCACAAACAATTCGCATTAGTTATTTGATATAATACACTGTTAGTTTGTCATTAAATTTTCGTGTTATTTGTTTACTGTAGGTACCCTAAATTTTATTTCCCTATATAGTGCAGCTTACCTTTATTTCAATAATATTAAGAATGTTCAAAATTATTTGCAGCGTTTATCAACAATGGTTGTAATAACTCTGTACGGAAGGGCAGACCTAGTCGGGGCGAATTGGGGTACGTTTTACCTATGTATTAATTATTGAGTTTGTGTATAAAAAAACAAGTTTAAGTGTGTACATTGTACTGATCACAATAGATATTTAACTTGTCAAGCATTTAGTTTTCTTTGTTGTTGTTGTTGTTTTTTTTTTTTTTTTTTTATAATAATAATATTTAATGAATTACGAACCATACAAAATAACAATAAAATTACATAAGGTATAATCAAAGAGTCGGTCAACCTCAAGCCAATGGCTGTGCGGAGATAGACGAGAGTCCAATTATTATTAGGCAAATTTAAATTGATAAGATATGTGGGACAAAATTAAACGACATCATAATGTAACTACAAACAATAAAACCTAATATGTAAATAATGTAAATAACTGTTTATGCAAAAAATCAAGACCATTTCACACATTACTAAAAATAGTAGCAGCGACAAATTCATTTTGAAAATACTCAGATCATCAAAGTCCAAAATACAAATCTGTATTTTATATTGTACACATTCTCGAGTCTGGGTGTTGAATGCCCAGTGTTTTTGGGACGTTCGCGTTTTGCCTCACCTCCCAAACACGACGACCGCAAAAATAAGAGTATAAGTAACAAATAATAATCATAGGCAGTACAATGACGTTTTCCATTTTAATTTTGCGTGAGGTTTTTCACGTTTTGATAAGTAGATCTCATAGAGTGCACAGTTGAAATTCCGAAATCATAATTTTTAAGTGAACTGTAGCTTCTCATGCATTAGTTTCTCTGCATGTCCAACTATGTGCTCGTATACAAACACACGGCGACCGCGACAATGTGAAATTATAGGTAATATTAGCCGTATAGCTGTATCGCTGCAGTTTATGGTCCGTTAGCACAATGAATGATGATGCTGCGACGCGGATTCGTGAAAAAAAAAATATAATATGGTAACTATAATAATGTTATATATGTATATAGGTACTATTATAAACACGCGAAAACGAAACGACCGGCAGCCCGAATAACGGTACCCCGGAAATCTTTTTCCCGTGTAGAAAATAATGTAAAGACCAATTTCGTTGTCGCGTAATGTTTCAAACGGAAATACAGTTGTTTCGCGCCCACGCCCGCGCTCCACCATCGCCCCCGCACACCCTATACAATAATATTATTTTTGTTGTTGTTATCCCGAAGAGATTTTCACGCGTATCCTACCTATTATTATTATTATTATTATTATTATCGCTACCGTACATTCAGTATGCACTAGCGAGTTTCGAACCATTTTCACCGTGAGAGTTAATTTTTTGTATTCGGATTCGGAACGGTTTTTTATTTTCTGTCGGCTAACAAGTTTCCGACCAGTCTATTCGTATTGGTGCTAAGACCGAAAACTTCACAGCATCTTTCTAACGTAGCATTTTGAATCTAGTCGGTACCTTAAAAGGATTCGCGGCGATTTTCCTGAATCAAATTTCCCGAATAGTATTTCACCTAACCCTTTTACCCGATAAGTATTCGGCCCAAAAAAAAGTGTTTGGATTTTCAAAGGCGCATCTGGATCCGTCGTTGATTACGCTGCAGTTTTCAATGACTTGGATTTCGCTCACAATTTCGTTTTGCAAATAATAATAATAACTACTGTAATTTAAATTTATTTTTAAAATTTAAAAAATAATATTCGGGAAATATTCAATGAGTATACCATTCCGGAAAAACGATATTCGGACAACATGGATTAATTCGCGAAAAATATACTACCGTTCAGAAAAATCATATTGCATTTTGAATCGTGAAAAAACTCGGAAACCACTTCATAGATTATCTGTTTCGAAATCGTTTCAATTTTCAAAATAACGAGGGAAAACCGACAAAAAAAAAAAACCTCTCGGAAAAAAACGAGAATACATAATCAGTTATCACACAACATTGATTTTTTTTTGTTGAAATTAGTTGATAGAAATAATCGTAGTAGACACTACTAGCGTTTTCGCTGAATTCACCGTTTTACAAACACAGACCGATTTCCAAATTATTATTATTATTATATTTTTTTTATTTATGAAAATAATAATTTCACTGTAAAAATTCTCGAAAATGTGATGCAAGGTTTAAAACTTTAATAAAGGTAGTGAAAAAATTTCCCACCAAAAATATTGTTCCAGTCAAAAAATAACAAAAGACAATTAATCGTAGAGACCCGAAATTTTAAAACATTCTGGCTATTTTAGAACTATTCATAAGCATTTCACATTTGCGAGCTTTTTATTCGTTTTATTTGGTTTTATGTGGATAAAATTGTTTGGCCCAACGGAAATGTTTAACATTTTAAAAACGAAGTTCATTATAAGTTGTGCTATGTGGTTAAATAATAAATAGTTTAGCCCGATGTAATCGGTTTTTTTTTTTTATTATTTATGCGTTTTATGTTCAAATTTTAATGGAAATCTTAGCAAATCAAGACACGTATAAAAGATATAACCGAATTTCTTTCTGCAGAATCGTATTCCGTTAACAATGATTTACTGTTTTGTACGGATATAAATTAAATAACTATACATTTTACCTTCCCAACTTTTCAGCTATAATAACGGCACACTCATCAGCTCATTTTATTTTGATGAAGTTTAATCGTTTTATAATATTGAAAATTGATACCAGGATTTCAGAAACGAAGTGTAGCAGCCCTCGAGGCCAGTATCTATTTCTCAAATAAAAATCTCGTCAACTGTAGACCTGGCTTTTATGAGCTCTATAGGTATACTCCAAGAGTATATACAGTGTGTCCCACCGTGTTCGATTGATTTTTCTTGCGCCGTTGATATTACATATTTGAAAATTTTCCAAAGTGAATAAATAAAAAGAACATTTTTTTTTTTTTTATTGTATGTGTTTAGGAGACGGAGATAAAAATGTAATTTTTTCGCGAACCGGTGTCCCCCTCTTGGACAAACCGATTGAAAAAAAATCGAAAAAAATTTAACATTGACGGCGCTAGAAAAATCCGTCGAACACCGGTGGGACACACTGCAGTATTTATAACCGTCGGCTACGACAGAAATAATGGTATAATCGTTTGTAAATAACGACAATTCTAGATTATATTATCACCTAGGGCCCTTCCGATCTAAACGAACGACATATAACAATGCGGAAAACATTACAGTGCCCATCGTAAGGACTAAGGTTATTTTAAATATTATTATGTTACCGGCAGCGGTAAAAACTAGTACATAGATACCATGCGTCTATACCGCAACCTCGTTTTGATATTTTTTTTCCATTTGTCTAAACGTTATTTATTTTATTTTTTGCTTATCGGTTGTGTTTAAGGTCGAACGAAGTGTCGTCGTCGTCTTAAACGCCGTTCTAAATAGCACATGGAAAAATGGTGAAGCGTATCAACAAACATCACTACGTGGCCACGCCCGGCGGAAGCAATAAACATTACCATAGATCTTCGGAGACGTTACCGTACGTGCACCGCGGATATTCCACAGATGGTAAACACGGTCGCGATAATTAATACTTATTATCTCGTTACAAATATTAATTACAACAATAACCCGACTATTAATTATGATTTTGTGTGCGAAACGTATCCGTGTACGCTGTAATGCCGCCGGTACAACGCCACCTTCAGACTCTCCGGACCCGACGAATATTCTTAGCGAATAAAATGGCGTACGCGTGGCGTAGGGTACCGACCGCACTTTATTCTATATTTCACACGTCCTGCACGAATCAATCGTAATTTTGCGAGAGTGATACCCTAAATACTTGAACCTCTTACTCTGCCCTATCTGATAATGTGGGTAGGTATTTCGTGCTCATCCGTCGACGATGCCTTGCCTTAACCAATCATCATTTATACGATTAATTCTTCTTTTTAATCTACCCTATCCGGCCTCTGTCGTGTCCTCCCTCCTATATAGGTGCAACTAGACCAACAACTTTGGGGGTGCTAAAATTATAGACACATCACAGAACCCGTGGGTGTAATGTCGGTCCCCTTTACACGGCACTATTATAATAAGCAACAATACGTTTAGTTTAAAACTTTTTATAAAAAAAAAATACATAATAACTTTTAGATTCGGAGCGCAGCGAGGAATGTATTGGTTTTACAATGATGTTCATTATTATTACTATTATTTATTTATTTTTTTTTTTTTGATACTCTTTGCATACAATTCTACCAGAAATCTTGCTCCGAAATATCAGGTATAGCACCTATTCTGAAAGGGTATTTTCCTGAAGGGATTAAAGAGGTAATTTTTTTAAATTTCCCAGGAGTTTTCCCAATAAGCCGGCAAAATCGAGAAAAAACGTAGAAAAAACTGAAAAATATTTACGGCGTAACGTTTTCATGATTTCACATTTTTGTAAATTTTGTTTTCTACCAGAAATATTGTTCCAATTGAATTACGACTAGAGATCTTGTTTTGTTGCATTTTGGATCTAGTTGCTCACGAAGTCGGTCTTTGATTTGCCTAGTGGTTTTCATAATAATAACAAAAGACTAAAAAAAAAACTTAAAAAAAACGGGAAAATTTACGAAAATAATGCCTTTATTATTTTAAATTTTGTTTGTTTTATTGTAATTCAGTTAGTCGTTAGTCTCTTAATCCGGGCCTGTGTATAATTTTGTTTCTAGTCGTTTTTCGTTAGCAATGGTTGTCACTGCTTACGGATATGAATTAAATAACTTATCTCATCTTCCGAAATTTTTCACTTAGAACAGTGGCACACCCGTCTCTAGTATCAGCACTTTTTTTAAATTGATTTTTTATACACACATAAATTATCTGCAGGTAATCTGTATTTTGTACTGCTTATTATTTATGAAATACATGGATAAATTAATATTTAGCCGAAACTGTAAAATAGCTAATTGACTATTTTTTGGGGTCCTAATTTAGTTAAGGGATAATAAAAAACCCCGTAGTTAAGCATATGGCTCCTCTCCTTTTCTACATGTTTTCACACAGCGTTCAGTTTTCGTACTAGTCATTTGCCGATAATTCTTCTTTCTAACACTTTTATAATAGTATTCTTCCCATTTCTAAATAAACTGGATCAAAAATGTTTCTTGGTTTCTTTCTTTTCCGTTGTATTAAGTTTAGCGTGGTAAACTTTTGTGGGTTGCCCGCGTTTCACAACGCGGGCACTACGCGTTTTAGTACCTACTTCGTCATAATCATAACTGATCTTAGGTAACTCATGTAGGTAACTTATATAATATTTCTCCTCGGGGCCAAGATACTTACTTGTATTATTTCGATATAGGCGAAGACAGTCAAAGAACACTGTCTGAATACACGATCGCGACGGACCGTCCGTCATCCCGTGGTCACCGGACCCCCAGGTCCAAGAGGTCGCGGAGTTTGGAACGTCCGTCCAGCAGTTCAAGGGCCAGGTCGGCGGCCAGTCACCATGACTCGGACGTGTACGTGACCAGCGCCGCGTACCGGCCGCCGTCCGAAATGAGGTAAGAAATATCTCGGTAGAAAATGGTTTTATAAAAAAACAAAAATAAAACCAGCCCGTCCGTTGTTTTCAGCCGAGGGTCTCATTATACAAGCAGAAGCAATCGGAGCCGGGGACCGGCTCCCAGCCATTACTCGTACCGGAGCAACGGCCTCGCCCCGTCCGAAGTGTCCACCGTCAAGTCGAAAATAACTCGCAAACCGGGCGTCACCGTCGAGACCATGTCCGCACCGAATCCTTTTTGCCCGAACACTAAGGGAATGTGCTGCCTGATGTTGTTATTGAACCTGGGACTGATATTGGTCACGTTGGGCTTCGTCATCGTCATACAGTTTTTCGAACCGTTGTTCGTGTGGTGAGTAACCGAATGGTGAGAAGTACCACACGAGCTGTAGAAAAAATATTTCAAAAAATTCAATTATATCTAACATCATATTCGTTATTATTCTTATTAAGACCAAATTCAATCTTTTTTTTTTTTTTTCATATTTCGATTCTATACTTTTAATTCCTACTATGTATTGTGTAATCGTGAGCCAACAACTCACGGCTATACCTATCTATCTATGGCCGTGCTACAACATCTAATCTAATTACTAATAATAGTTTTCGAATTATTATTGAATTTTCGTGTTTTTCCAGGGTGTTGGGCATCATATTTTTAATTTTCGGATTCCTGACGCTGATGGGCAGTCTAATCTATTGCGTAACGGTGTGCAGGGACGCCAAAACTCCCAAGGAAGTGGCGATGCAGAACCACTATTGGACGCACCACTGGCAAAAGAGCTTCGGTACAACACCGGAAATACACTACAAGACGGAAAAGTATCCACCACAAGCTGTGCATCACAGTCACTCAGACCACGACGAGTATAGTGATCGGTTTTCGATCGGCAAACAATCAGACAGGCATATGCACGGGCACAGATACTGAATTCTATCCACTACACTGTATATAGATGTTGTAATATTATCATTGTATGTGTAAATATTAATTATTAAAAATAATTTTAGTTAATAACAAAAAAATAATATTATTGTAACAGTGGACTCTCTCATGATCCCGAAAGACAATCGTGATGTTAAAATATTGGACAAAATTTAATATTAGGTGTATGTTTTTTATTATTTTTTTTTATTTTTCGTTACACATTATATGCTAAACAGGTAACAATTTAAAAAATATAAATGTATATATATTATAAATTAGTAATACTGATATTTATGAATAATATCGTTTATTCCGATAGAATTATGACTTTTATAGCTAAAAAATAAAAATGTATCTAATTGACTGAAATAGTCTTACTACTATGGCTGCAAATAATTTTAAAATTCTAATGATACATTTTATTAACAATTATTTATTCATCATAAACATTACGAAAATACTTACCAAAGTGTTAAGTTATTTCGTACTTTTTAATATTTCCATTTCCTAATTAATTATATAACATGTTTTTATAAATCATAGATATTCGTATATTTTTGTAAATGTTTTATTAAAAGTATAAATAAACGTAAAAAAAAATGTATTGTTCATTATTTTATAACAACATAAAGTTATTTAAGTTAATTAATATACATATTGATTGGCTCCGTTCAATCATTTCATAACACTATTGGTTGGTTTGTTGAAAGTTCATTATTCAAATCAATAATTGTACAGTTTATACAGTGAGTATTTCACAACAAACATACATCACATCATTACAAGTTTAACACAAAATTAAATATTATTATTTTTCAAAAAAGATAATCCAATGTAAAAATTATTTTTCAATGTTAAAATTTAATATTACATACTGAACATTCACTTAACATTAACTTAATTTTCTATTTAGTAAATAATAAAAAAAAAAAAAACATAAAATGAAAAGCTTAAATATGAGTATGAATTACTTAAGTACATAAAAGTTTTAATCAGAACCTGAAGAGAAAGGAGACTTTGCCTTGATTTTTTTAGTAGGAGGTTTTCTTGCTGAAGATTTGGCTCGTGATTTCTTTTTAGTTTCTAAAAGAATAAAATATATAAATTACATTAATAACTATACAAAACAATATTTCTAGTATTCCCGAGTATACTACGAAAATAAAAACTATTGCAGCCAATAATGTCTGTTATACATATATACATATAATTTTTCTTAGTACTTTTAGCAGTCCCACTAGACCAAATAAGCACTAACTTGTGTCAAATAAGTCAATTGAAATATAAAAATTGTGTTGAATTTAATATAAATTATGTTGTTGTGGGAAGGTATTTTTTTAACATGGACTACAGACCCTAATTTCCTATTTTTTTTTTATGGAGGGAAACTAGTTTATTTGTAATATATTATAGTATTGCAATACTATAGTTTTCAGTTATTTATTATTTAAAATAAATATGATTATGATACTAGACTGGAAGGGGGAAATTTTACTCCAACACAATTTTGCCACTCTGGGATGTTTTTTTTAAATATTTACTGAGTATTAACACAATTTGCATTTATGTTTCTAATAACAATACAATATCCTTGGTTACCACAACAAACATAATATTTATTAAATTAAAAAAGAATTTATAATTATTAAATTGTTAAAAATGTCTGAACAGGAAAATGATTCGAATAACATCAAACGTGAAGAATTCAAAAAGTATTTAAATAAACTGGGTGTTGTTGAAGCTATAACAAATGTTTTGGCAAAACTTTACGAATTGAAAGAAAAACCAACAGATCCTTTGGATTTTATTCGTACTAATATGACAGAAATTGTTAACGAGAGGGAAGAATTAAAAAAACTAAAAATCCAACATGAAAATATGGTGCTTAAAATTAAAGAAATGGAAGAAGAAAATATGAACCTGGCAAAGGCAATAAACGAATTAGAGCATTACGGAGAAGAGACAAACAGCAGCAAAACTGAATTAATAACTGACGAGTACAATATTGGAATGGAATAAATAGTGTTAAATTATATTCAAGTATTGTCTATAAGAATTATTTTCTAATACATAATAAATTAAAAAAATAAAAATAAATTGGATTCTTTCAAAAAGTTATGTTACATTTATTTTAACTCGTTTAACTATATTCATACCAGTTTTATATATTTGTTAATATGAAAAATTATTTTAACTGTCACTATAGAATTATAACAAAATATATTTTTCATAGATTATTATATCTTTATTCAAGGAAATAGTTTTATAACCTAACTCGTAACTTATAGCTCCAAAAGAAAGTTGTTATAAGCGCAATGATTAGCTCTTAAAAACATTCATGTAAATGCTAATATACGCACTGAAAATGTTAAAATATGCAAAAATATAAGTCTGATATCATATCAGCAGCTGGTAACGATTGTTTAATATCATAGTGTTTCAAGCAGAATGAAAAAAATGCGATAATACTCATTTAACAATATTATTTATAGAGACCTCCATATCAACGGAATCACTGAGTAATGGCAACGAACACCTAATTTGTCAATCTTATTTTTTTTTTTATGACAATTACCGAAATATAATATCAATTTTATAAGAAATTTTCTTCTTTGAAATGACGATAAAACCAACAAAGTGCTAAAAATCATCAAAATAGCAAAATAAAGTCAAATCATTAAAATATGTAACAATTTTTTTTAAATTTTTATATGACTTCTTGATTATCTGAAACAAATTTGTAACTTATTTAGGTGTTACTAGGACTATTACAAAACAAATATGCAAATACTACAAGTCAAAGCCCTAGTAATTTTATAATACTGATTGAAAAAAGTATCAGAATAATTTTAAATAAGTGACTATTTTTTTCTTTTATTAATTAGTATTTAATAATCAAAATTTGTTTTAAATTATATAAGTTCCTCAAAGTTGTTCAGGAAAGTAAAAATTTATTTATCTTACAAACCTAAATTATTTAATTATTTAATTCCAAACAGTCCTACAGCCAAAAACTGTATGCCTCTAAAAATATTTAGTTTATTTATCTATCTTCTTTTTTTAAAATTTACATAAGTAAACAAATACATGAATAACTAAAATAGTTTTTCAAATAATCACTTAAAATTATATTCAATTAAAATAAAATAGAACCAAAACATCTTTAATAACAATTATTAATTCTTCAATGATGGAATTTTCTTTAAAAACAATGATTTTTAGCTCAAAACTGTAAAAAATACTTTCAATTATTCAAGTGATTAACAACGAATTTAAAAATAATATTACGTAAATAATAACGTCAAGCATAAAATAATAAAATATTATAGCTGTAAAGGTAAACAGACATAAAATATATTTCAAATTTCTTGAAAATTGATAATAGACTATTAAAAACAATATGTAGAGCTAAAATATATGAGTGATTTATAAAATAAATACATTTACCTAAAAATTACTCCTGAAAAGAAAAGAAACTTAAAAAATAACTAAGTTAATAAATATTTATTTATAACGTAGCAATTTAAAACACATTTAAGTATGTTATTGAGTTTCTAGAGATAAGATTTAAAAAAATGTTCATTTCAACTTTAAACTATAGAACTAAATAAACTAATCTTGCTAGTACACAAAGGAAAAAAAATATTTTTACCTGGAATGAAATTGTCATCTGATTGATCAGACATTTTAAAATCATCGTCATCATCATCATCATCATAAACTGTGGTTTTCTTGGGATAAGGTTCGGCAAATAAGTCATCAAATGATTTTTGAGGTTTACCTACAAAAAAAAGATCAAACATTTCATAAACTGAACATAAACATAACATTTTTTAAAAAACATACTGCTAGTTGATTGAGACTTAAATGCATCATCTGAATCTGATGAGCTGTATTTGCGTTTAGGTTTAAGAGCCGCTGCTCTTGGTTTTCGTTCTTCTGGTTCAGAATCTTCATCATTACTTCCATCGCTTAGAATCACAGTTTTCTTTTTAGCAGCTGCTCTTGGTTTTTTTTGTTCTTCTGGTTCAGAAAAAATGTCATCATTGCTTTCATCACTGAATTCAATCACCGGTTTCTTTTTAGCTGCTGCTCGTTTAGCAGCAATTGGTTTGGCTGTTGACGACCCATCTATTGTTACAATATCACTACTACTACTAGCTGTACCATTATTCTTTTTGGCAGGTGCTTTTTTAACAGCAGGTTCTTTTTTAGCAGCAGGTTCTTTTTTAGCAGCGGGTTCTTTTTTGGCAGCTGGTGGCTTTTTTGCAGCTTTCTTAGGAGATTCTTTTTTCTTTTTCGGAACAAATTCATCATCCGACATAGACCTAAAAATATGAATACAATACAAATTCAATTACTTGCTAGACTTATGCATAAAAACAAAATATTGAATGCTCAGTAGTAAAAATTTAAATTATCTGTACTATGATTATACAAAATCAATTATCCAAATGAAATCAAAACTTACTCGTCAGAAAATATTTCATGTGTTGGTGAAGTTTTAAGACTATTTTCACCATCACTATGTTCGTATTCATCACCACTATCATATTTAAATGATATATTTGCCGCTAGTTAAAATAAACAAACATACATTTTATTAAAACATTTTTTATTTCATTCATATTAAATTACCAGCTTGGCGTTTAGATACTGTTCTTGGAGGAGGTGGGGGAGAATCTGATAAGTTTCCATCTTCGTCCTCTTCATCGTCATCAACTAATTTTTTTTCAAACTTTAATTTTGTCTGTTTTAAACCATCTGTTTTCTTTTTAGGAGCGGCAGGTTTTCTTTCTTTTTTTTCTTTTTTTGGTTCATCTTCACCTCCTTCACCTTCACCTTTTTTCTTTAATTGTTAAAACAAACAAAAACATTTAAATTAATTGTTTTAATTAATAACAGAATAAACATACTTTTTTCTCAGCACGTTTTCCTTTATTTTCTTTCGCAGCTATAATTTTTTCTTCTTTTTTTAACATCTCAGCATCGATTACAGGCATAATACGTCTTGCAGCAGGAGAAGGCATAGAATCAGAAGCCATCTGTGTTCTTTTCTTAGCACCAATTGCTAATTTCCCACCCTTGGAACCTTTTTTTCCAGATTCCTCACCTAATTCATCTAATCTTTCTTTTTCTTCGACTTCACTTAACTGTAATGCGAAAATAATTCATAATTATTCAAAAAAATGTATTTTTTTTTAGAACTGTATATTTAGATTTTCTTTTTAGTTTATTTTGAACAAACAGATTATTATATTTTTTTAACGAGTTAAAACTTATTGTTTATTTATATAATATATTATGAAAGTTATACTAGTTATAGTATACACTATACATATCTAGTTGATTGTACTATAATTCTGTAAATTAAAAATTAAAATCGAGACTTGAATTTTATTTAATATGATCTGGTTAAAGAAATCAAAAAAGATAGCTAAAATGCTAATATCTTGGAAAAACAAAACTACATAATTTTTTTGAAAATAATTACCTTTTCTAAGAATACTTCTAAATCTTCAAGCCACAAATCAGATGGAGACTTTTTCTTCAAGATGTCTAGTTCTGCACATTTTTCATCTTTTTTTCTTAGCAGTTCATTCTTTTTCTCCAATGTTAAATGCCAGAAAGACATGCCCAGTAAATAATCGTAATCCAAGTTGTCATCATCTTTGGAAGGGGCACTAGTACTTGGGGGAGAGGTTTCATCTTCTTCAGTTTCTTCTGCAGCTTGTTGAGCTTCATCAAGCTATATATATAATATACATATTTTATTTTAACACATATTAGCCCAAATTTTATTAAAGAAATTAAAAAATGTATGCATAAAATAAATAAAAATTGATTACCAATACTGATTCTCTATCTTGAACTAATTTCCATGCTTTAACAGGGTCACTGTTATAACCCCGTTTAACTAATTCTTTAATCATTTCCGTCTTCTTACGATTCTCAATTCGTAAATTTCCATCACATTTTTCCACAATAAATCTTAAATTAAAAACATTTTGTACTAATTATATAAGTAGATTACATTATTAATAACAGAAAATATGAAAACAACATTTATACTAGCGATGTGTTTAAGAATGAGCCAGTTCAAATTGAACTATTAATGGTTTGATCTAATTAACATTTAAATGAACAACATAATTTATTGTTCCTTTCAATGTATAACGGTCACTAGTAACTATTCATTCACCCAAGTGAACGATTTGTCAAAATAGCTAACCTTTAAATTGTTCATTGTTTACTGGTACAATGCTGTACTGTAGTAGTACTATACTACCAGTTAACGGACAACTAGTCCTACACCACAATTTATTTATACATGGTTATCACAGAAAAATAAAATAAAATATATTTATTATAAAAATAGTGTGAACCTCAATCTATTATTATTATTTTGTTATTCAAATTTTAAGATTTAGTTAAAAGCCAAAAAAAAAAAAAAAAACTATCTGTAACATTTATTACAAATAACCATCTCAAGAAATATAGGTAATTTTAAATTTAACTAAAAATAAACAACTTTTTATTTTACATACCTAGCTTGATTAGTTAGTTTTGCTGCTTCAGCTCCCAACATACCTTCTAGATAATCTTTACGTTTACCGTAAAACTCTAATCGGACAGCATAAAATTCACGTAATATTTGCTGAGTAGTTTCATATTTTCTTAACACACAATCTTTGTCAAAAGCACACTAAAAAATTGATATTCTTAATATAAAAAACACAAAAATATGCATTTGAAATTTTACCATAGAAGTTAAACCAAGAGATGAATGCAATTTGAAAAATTTATGGACACCATCATTTTCTGCTTTTTGAAGTTTTTCTGGATTCATAGTCACGACAAATTTAACTGTAGTATCAGTATTGTATTCTTTATAGTCACTATTAATAAAGATGACAAAAAAATAATGAATTAAAAATAAAATTTTATAAATTTTTGTTTACTCACCTAATAATAGCAGGAGACTTTTCAGTATCAGTGATCATAGATTCCAAAACACTTTCTTTATAGTTTTGAGTCCAAACACCAACTGGAAGTTCTGTAATTTCTACTTTATTGTGCCCAATTATTCCTACTTCACCACTAGAAATAAATTTTTGTTCGGAAATTTTTTCGATATGTCCAATAAAGTTTTTATACCAAGGTTTCTATAGACAATAAATATTTAAATTGAAATCATAAATTAACTTTATATTTTATAACATTAAGTACTGAATAAGAGCTAAATTACCATGGGTACTGGATCTTCACCTCTTATCATTCGTTTTATGTTTTCGACAACTTCTCTTGGATTATGATTGGGTATTTTGGTCATCCATCCAGTACCAATACCCTCTGCACCATTTACCAGAACCATAGGTATAATAGGCATGTACCAAACCGGTTCAATCTTTTGGTTATCATCTCGATTATAAGTCAACAGAGGATCATCGTGAGGATGAAAAATTAATCGAGCCAAAGGACTAAAATATTATACCAAGTAATAAACTTAATGATCTTTAAATTTTAATAGAAAAATGCAGAATCAATCATAATTACCTAAGCATTGTGAAAATATATCTGGCACTAGCAGCATCTTTTCCACCCTGAAGTCTGGTACCAAACTGACCAATGGGTTGCAGTAAGTTTATGTTATTGCTGCCTACATAATTTTGTGCTAGATTAACAATTGTCGACATCAAAGACATTTCACCATGGTGATATGCAGAATGTTCAGCAACTGAACCAGCCAACTGAGCAACTTTTATTTCACGTTTGTCATTTCTTTTGAGACAAGTAAACAATACCTACAATACAGTAACACAAATTTAATTTAATCCTTCATTACTATTTATTTATATTGATTTAACTAAATACAAAAATGATTTATGTTACTTTTCGAGATCCTGGTTTTAATCCATCAATAGCAGACGCAATAGACCGTTCGTTATCCATATTACTGAATAATACCAATTCTTTATTTACAAAATCTTTGTAAGTAACAGCCCTGGTATTTTTCTCATATAAATATTCTTCGGCTAAACCTGCTTCCTTACGCCGTTTACTTTCAACCATCCAATTAGTTAACCATTCTTTACGTTGATCAACACATTTTTTACTAAAAGCCTAAAAGTTTCATTTTTATGAAAAAAAAATTATTTATATTTTAATAACTATTTAATAGTTTACCATTTCAATATGTTCATCGTCATTATTATCCTCATATTTAAATAATATTCTATGCCTTTTCATGTTTTGAAAATATTCTTTAGCCTCTTTAGAAGTAGAGGTACCCAACCCCTTGTAGTACTTTATCCTATATTTATTCCAATTTCTCGTAGCGTCTTTCCATTCTTCAAATTCAGGTAGTGAATAAAACGAGATTTCTTCTTTGCCTTTAGTGGCTTTAACAATAGGCGTAATAAACTCCTCTAAAAATGGTAATTTTAACAATGATGGCCAATTATGATGAATAAAATTAATTATCAATCCTTTAATATGCGATCCATCCTAAAGAAAAATGGTAAATCAAAAATTATTATTTGTAGATAATAAATAATGACTTAATAGTAATAATAATAATAATAATACACATAATTAATAGGAATTTACTTAACCCAATAATAAATATTAAAAATAAAAAATAAAATATTTAGCTGATATTTTTATTAATTTTCACCTGATCTTGATCAGTCATTATCATTAATCTACCATATCTCAATGACTTCAGATCTTCCATTGTTTCATATTTCTTCCTATATTGTAAACCAACAATTTTCACAATGTTATTTATTTCTGCATTTTCCAAAATCTAAATAATAAATAAAAATAATTATTATTTTAATTAAACAAATTTTATTCAGTAACTTACTTGTTTGTGAGTGGCTTCACGGACATTTAATAGTTTACCTCTGAGCGGAAACACCCCAAATTTGTCACGTCCAACTACACCAAGCCCAGAAACTGCTAATGATTTAGCTGAATCTCCTTCAGTCAATATTAATGTACAGTCTACTGAATTTTTAGTACCAGCATCGTTAGCATCTTCTAGTTTAGGTACTCCTTTGAGTTTGCTAGCTTTTTTACCACTTTGTTTTTGTAATTGAGTTTGAGCTTTAAATTTAGCCCAACTTAAAACAGCTTCTACAACACCACACTTGGATACCTTAAAAAATATTAATAATTAGATTTTAAATACTCAATATTTTTCCTACTTAATAGTTAAACTTACAGCAGTAATAAACTTTTCAGTTAATGTACATTTTGATCCAAAATTCTTTACTTGTAAAGTCATATGCTCTTTTGTTTGAGAATCAAATGTAGGATTAACAATAAGACAATTAACAAATACCCAGAGATGATTTTTTACTTGATGGTTCTTCAAATCCATACCGCCTTTATTTCGTTTTTTTACAATATCTATTAGTTGCTTTACAATCATATCTGTGACATAGTCCACGTGTCTACCACCCTATGAAAAATAATTTTATTTAATAAATAGGTTAAATACTAATAATAATTAAATTTACTTTGGTTGTTGCAATGCTGTTAACGAAAGACACTTGTTTAAAACCATTGTCTGACAGAGTGACTGCGACTTCCCAACGTTGTCCTGCATTTTCATACACTAGTTTCAAAGGATTGCCTGTATCATCTTCCTTACCTTTGATATACAAACTTACATAGTCTTGAAAGTTTTTAATCTGAAAAAAATTACCTATACAATATATTACACAATTTTAAAACATTATGATATTATGGAAGAGTGTGTAGATGATAATATTGTTGATGCGTGGAAAGGGAGATTAGGAAAATAAATATAAAAGAGCAGTAGTGTAGATATTATTTTAAAAGATTAACAATTAACTAAACTAAATCTCACCGGAAGTAATTTGCCATTTAAATAAACTTTTACTCCACGAGTTGATGCAGCGATATCATAGGCACGGCGAGACATTAAATCAACAATATCTTTATCAAGAGTAGTCATGCGAAATTTTGCTAAATCGGGACTAAATGTTACTTTAGTATAATCGGTAGTTTTCACTTCTCTAACTGCTGGATCTGAAGATTTTGCCATATTATTTGCCCATGTCTAAAAATTGTAAATACATAAACATTCAGTACAGTAGAATTGATGTTTGTAAAGAGATTGAGCGAGGAGCAACTATTGAGTTATATTTGCTAGAGGCCTAAATTGTAGTTCTTGACGTCTCACTCGCCATCTATTATTTTGATTCAAAACAATAGATTTAACAACTTGATTAATGGTGTTCTCATCACCACTTTTCCTGAAAAACTGAAGTTGTTATGTAGGAATAGATAATACTACGTCCATATTGATGTTGATATCAATGTTTAAGGAAGAGGTTCCTAAACTTTTTATGGTACAAACCATTTTGGAATTTAAATTTTGTTTAATTTTTATTTCTAGACGTTTATGAAATTAGTTTAGTTGCATACTCTCTCATTTGCAAATATAAATCCAATTTTCTGGTAGAAAATTTGTACACAGGGGGAAAAAAAGGACGTCATATTTTATAACTATTGCCTACATTTTGTACATTTTCCTGTTTTAATGATTTATTAGGAAAACTCTTGGGAAAATCAAAAAATGACCGCCCTTAAAATACCACCCCAGTCAGATTTCCTTTCAGAAAGTGACATCATTGTTAATCGGAGAATTGCTCCATTCAGAATCTAAAAATTATATTATTTAAAAATATAACACAACCTATTAAAAATATGATAACGACCCTTACTTTGGGAACCTTTGAATGATTAAATAATTTTTTTGAAGCCACAAATATTTGTATAAGAACCATTGCTTACACACAAAAAAATATGTGTAACCAGTTAAGCTATAGTGATGAATAATGAAAACTTTAAAAGTGGAAAGAGATTGAGGTATACTTGAACAACTTCCTTTATATCCTGTTTTACGTTTATGATATTGACCATAAGAACCATGAGCTTTTACTTGGCTTTTACTTATAAACAAATTAATGGAGCATAATTTTTAGCAGTACACATTAATTCAAGCATTGTAAGCTCTTTCAATAAATCAGGAACGGGTCTAAGTCTATGTTAGACACTGAATATTTGAAAAGATTCAATTTGTATGATGAGCATATAAAAGATCCTTTTACATGTTGTAGTTCCAGCCATTCGCATATGGTACATGGACAGATAACAGTTCAAATTAATCAACTAATTATCAATCTCAATTGTTCCTAGAAGTGTCAACACAAGTAACAATGATTTTGTGTGTACATGTCTATATTCTCGCGCGATATTTATGAGATAATAATTTCTTAAGTAAGAAAATGTGTATTTATTAATGTCACCAGTAGACCTATTTATTATTTGTACTTAACCAATTGAACAGTGAAAAGAACTGATGAAATAATATTACCAGGAAGACTCTTTATACTCTGAACTACAAGATTATATACAGGTGCTTGAAAATGGGAGAGCACCATAGCATCATTTGAAAGTAGGGGAGAGGGGAGCTTTTTTCAATGGTACGCAATAGATGCAAATATTAAGTACTAGCCAAACACTAAGAACTGTTTTCTGTGATTGTTCCTTCATGGTGAATTCTATTTTAAATTAAAATTTTTATGAACCTCCCTACCATTGGTCATGGCAATCATGCAAATTTTGTGTTAATCAATTGACCGATGCAAAAGAAAAATGTGCACAACCAATTAACTCACTCGCTCAATAATAAATAATTATTATGTATTTATACAGAGTACCTCATGAAAATATACCCATTGTAATATCTCCAGGGATAATAAAAACAATTTAATTTTGTTTTTTTTTTACAATACTCACAGACATCAAGACTACAAATATTTATATTGCAAATCATTTTTTTATGATTTGATAAAAAACTTAAAAAAAAATTGAAGATGGCCATTTTATGAAATTTGTTTTTCTGAAAATGTTGATGTATCACATTTTTATTTTTATTAAATTTGTGATTTTTATTAACTTTTTAAAGTTCAGAGAAAAGTACCTGTAATTATGCAACAAATTATAATCGCATTCTTAAATTGATTATTATTTTACGATTAATTAACTGCACTCTTTCTTTCTGAACTTAAATTTATTTATTAAAAACTATGAATTTGATAAAAATAAAAAGATACATCAAAATCTTAAAATTAAACCTTTTAAAATGGCTATCATATCAAATTGTTCAAAAATAATAAAATAAAGTTATTTTTATAAATTCTTTACCAAAACAAAAAATGAATTGCAATATAAATACTTAATAAGGATCTTAGAGAGTAATATAGAAAAAAACCCCTAGAGATATGACAATGAGTATAATCTTTGTGGGACACCCTGTATGTATATGTATATATATACATGTGTGTGTGTGTGTGTGTGTGTGTGTGTGTGTATACACATAATAATAATAATTAAAATAGAACAATACTTGTTTAAAAGACTTGTGATATTCACGACTAGCAGTCTCAACAGTAAATTTATTACTGAAAATATTACAAAGCTTAGCACCATATCCATTTCTACCTCCAGTCACTTTTGCTTCTTCATCGTTATAGTTAGAACTTGTCAAAAGATGTCCAAAAATCATAGTAGGAACATACATTTTTTCATCTTTATGTTCAACAACAGGAATACCTTGACCATTATTCCAAACAGATATTATATTTTCTTCCCTGAAAATATTTCATTTCTGAAGATTAAAAAAAAAATGCTATTAAATATTATAATGCACATAGTATATTTATTCCGCAGTTTCTTTGTGTTTAAACAATATATTCTGTTTAATGAAATAACATAAAATACCAAATAATTTTGTAAGTACCTACCAGCATAATATATTATTATTTATAACATTTACTTACTGATTAATGTCAATTTTAATTTTGTCCATTGTTGGATCTCTTTGTTTATTATCAGCAGCATTTACTAATATTTCATCAAATATTTTATATAAACCAGGCACGTATGAAATTTCTCTTTGAACCATACAATCTTGGTCGACATCATAGACCCACATAAACTCAGTGACCGATTCAACCGAACCTGAACAATCACAAAAAAAAAGATTAGATAATACAGGATAGATACATTAAGAAAAAAATAAAATGAATAATAATTAATGTTTACCAATATATGTATCAGGTCTGAGTAAAATGTGTTCCAGTTGGGATTTCTTCTGATAAATTTCTTCTACGGCAGTCTTCTTGGTCTTAGAAGATGCAGCAGGAAGTGTTTCTCCATTTTCTACAGACGACGCCATACCGGCGACTTTAGGTAGGAACGTTCTTTTGGAATGTTCTATTAAAAAGAAGAAACAAGTGAATAATGAAAAAAAAAGGAAAAGTACAACTTCAATCGGAAAGGGTTAGTTTGTCAGCCATTAACAGAAAAAAAAAACGCGGGCCATTATCTCGTTTGTTTTAATTATTAGATACATTCAAGCACAATAACAGATACGGATAACAGTATATCACTCTCCCCCCACTCGATTATTCAAAAGTAGAAAAATTTAACCATAATAATTAATCAAAATAAAAACTCATAGTTAAATTGGTTTGGGACAATTTTGAAACAAATCTCCTTCCCCAAAATTTTATTTTTATCAATGTTACGGCCATATCCAGCACTGAGCAGATAGGTAGTTAGTGTACAGGTACCCCAGAAATCGGGGGTTTAGTCGACGGACAAGGACTGGATAGGTCTGGTACGAGGTTTGAGCACACAATAACAATTAGAAAACATTCCGATAACATTACGAGATCAGCGCACACGTACTGAGAGAAACGCCAACGCTGCCCACGATCGATCGAAACGGCCAGAACATGCAATCGTGATCGTTGTCGGGGAAAACACGGCAACACCGGGCTACAGGAAGGTAACTGAACCCCGACTTGCAACACGGCGACGAAAACTACGAAGACGGCGGATGATATTATTACGTTATCACCAGGACGTTATTTACCTGTGTCGAGATTTCCGTGTGGGCTGCGGTTTTTCGTTAACTATCCGTATTATGAATAGGTTTTAGCGACCGGCGTTCATATGTATGGTGCGAAAACGACGCAACGAACACTAGTCGGACGACGGCGATACCGGTCGGGGAACGTTAAATTATGTTATTTAATTATCATATACGCGAATTCCGGTGGAATCGCAATTTATCATAAATAAATATTATAACTGAATAGAATAATAATAATAATAATGATTTCTTACGAAAATTGCCGACGACCGTTGCGACGGTTAGACGCGGAAAATTAGCGCGCAACTCATCGATGACGACCGTTCCGTATCCGTATTCCGTTATGGTGCGAGAGCATGCAGGAGAAGGGGTCGAGAAAAAAAAACGGTTTTCGAAAGATGGCCGCAACAAAAGCCGATCGCCGGGATTTCGCCGCTGCCGAACAGCCGCCACGCATGCGCTCTCCGCACTGAGATATCAGCGCGTGCGCGGGCCAATACATTCACTTGTTGTACGTTTTTTTTGGCGGCAAACGCAACATAATGATATTAAATAATAATTAATTTACAAAATAGCTACAAAGTTATATTGCAATAACTACAGCAGCTTTTGCCAGTCTATAATATTAACCTTTGCCATATTGCATTCGTATACAGGTTAGGGTTGCCAGACGTCCCGTATAATACGGGAATGTCCCTTTTTTTGACTAAATGTCCCGTTGTCCCGGCAAATCTTGTCGGGACACTGAAATGTGCCGTTTGCTAAAATATGTACCTATATTATATATTGTATTCTTTTTTCGTTTTGAGATAACAATTACCTACTTGTTATTCATTATCACTACCCGTCGGCCACATAGATAATAGAAGATTATAACATAACCATATGACCATACCGACCGATACCATAAACCTATAAAGGTCTTAATAGGTCTATGACCGATACCGATTTCGTTTCTATTAATAGATTGTTATAATTTTATATTATGTTTACCATTTCGCATATTATTATAAAATAGATTAGTCGATAAGAAAATTATTATTATTCTTATCTGTTCTATCATAATTCATAGTCTGGTCAGACAACAGTAATATACATTAGTGTATAATCGTTTTTATAACATAATAATATGATAGTTAAGTTTTAATTTTTAAAATGCCCAAAAGAAAGTGCACATTTAATGAAAAGTTACAAAGTGAATACACATTCTTAAAAAAATGTCAAAAACCAGGACAAGAATATAAAATTGAATGTATTGTGTGTGGAGCAGCATTCAGCATTGAACATGGTGGTAAGTCGGATATTACACAACATTTAAAATCGGAACGACATAATATAGCTGCTAGAGCGTCTAAATCTCAAAAATTGTCAAATTTTTTTTCTCCAAAAACACAATTTGCTGATAAAGAACAAAAATTAGCTGCAGATGAAGGAATTTTTGCTTANGTATCAATTATGACTGATGCATCTAATCATAATTCTCAAAAAATGATACCCATTCTTGTTCGCTATTTTCTACCTGACGAAGGAGTTAAAAATAATATTTTGGAATTAAATGAGCTTCCGGTAGAAACTGCATCACTATTAACGCAATATATATCATCAATACTTCACGAATGGAAAGTCGAAAATAAAGTTATTGCTTTTTCTGCAGATAACACTAATTGTAACTTTGGTGGTGTAGCTCGAAATGGAAAAAATAATGTATTTTATAAACTTAAAGAGATTTTTAATAAAGATTTAAATGGAGTAGGCTGTGCTACACATATACTTAACAATGCAGTACAATCAGCCGCAGACACATTACCAATTGATGTACAGGTTATAATTGGAAACATTTTTCAACATTTTTATATTTATACAGTTCGAGTCCACGTTCTAAAAGAATTTTGTGAATTTGTTAACATTGAATACAAAACCGTTTTAGGACATTCTAAAATTTTTTATTATCTATTGATATAGAAGTATACGGAAAACTGATATAATTTTTAAAAAATATTAGATAGTTGAAAGAAGTAAAAATATTAAGTAAAGATTGTCCTATAGTTCAATTCATGATACTTTCATTAAAAAATGTCTAGCGGCGTCGTTGTGATACAGTGAAACCTCTTAATACCCGACATTATCGGTCGCCAAAATTTCGTCCGTTATATGGAGGTGTCCGTTAAGGGAGATTTCACTGTATTTGAAATAGACATTTTTTTAGTTCCGTATTTTGAATTTTGAAATCTGGTAACCTTAATACAGGTATTAACTTAAAATATTATTAATGTACAGTGTAATAATACGTTACAATAGGAACATATTATTAATTCGTATCATTTAAAATTGGACTTAAGTAACCAAAAACGATCATTATATTTTACGATACTTTATTATTACGGCCTATATAATAAGGTAATCGATACAGAAGCGTCTACAGACCTTGAAGATTGGTGGCAGGGGGAGGGGTTGCGAAATAATTAAATTTAATATTAATATGATTGATAAGAAAAAAAGACTGACATACTTTGCACGATGGGTGAATCACTGTTATAGATGAGAGGTTGGGAAGGTAGAATATAGAAGGAAATTTAATGTATATATGTAATCAAAAATTATTTATTGCCAAAAAAACGATTCTGAGCGAATCTCGGTTAATATTATTACTTTTTCAATAAAATATGTCATATTACAAAAAATAAATATATTGAAACAATTTGTATGAACTAGTAACTAAATTCGTTCCACATAATTTTTTACTAAAACAATTTTTGTCAAAATGTTATATTAAAGTTTTTATAAAAAAAATTTAGAACATTAAATTAATTTGTTTTTTCTTTCGACTGCAAAGTACGACTTATAATAAACCTCCTGTTCAATTATCAAGCATTTCTGTTTTGTCTAACAATTTTATCCATAGAGTACCTAGGGATATATTGATTTAAATTATGATGTGTGTTTTTTTTTAGATTCGGAACGTAGCTATGAAATGATCTGTTTGTTTTATTATGATGTGTGTTTTTTAGATTTGGAGCGTAGTGCGGGATATATTGGTTTTACTATGTGTTTTTTTTTTTGTTTGTGAACAATTATTTTCTACCAGATATCTTGACTCGAAGTGTCAAGAGTGTAGCTCCTTTTCTGAAAGGAAATTTTCCCTATTTGGTGAATTGAGGAGGTCATTTCTCGATTTTCCAGTTCTAAAGTTCTTGCAGAATTAGATATTTCAAAATAATTACGAAAAACCCGAGAGAAAATTATAAGTAAAAAGGCAAAAATGTACAGCTCGCTGCAGTGTTACCGTTTTCATTGGTTTAAATTTTTGAAACTTATTTTTTCGACCAGAAATATTGCTCCAATCGAAACATTATAAGTGATCAAATTTGTACATTTTAACATATAGCTACTGATAAAGAAAGTTTTTATGAATATCAAACGTCTTTTTCATAATAATTCAGAAAACCAAAAAGATGAAAAATACTATTTTTTTCAGATTACTGCACAACAATTCCATTATTTTAAAATTTTACGGCTTATACTTTAGTTTTCTAGAAAAAATATTGCTCCAATAAAAAAACAACAAGAGACCTTTTTTGTTGCATTTTAAATCTAGTTGGTGATATAGAAATTTGATTTTTGATTTTTACTGTAGTTATATTAATAATTGAGCAAAATCATAAAATTCGTAGAAAGAACGGGAAAGTTTTATATTATTAATATAATAGTTAATATTATTATATTTTATTAGTTGTTTGTATATTATTATTTATTATAGTGTAAAATATTGTTTTCATGGGTAGATTGTTACTTGAAAGTTCAAATTTAAATTCTGAATTATAATTTGAAATATTAAAATTTCATACTATGTAAAACAACAAAATATTTAAAGAGGAGAATATTTATATAGGTATCTTGTTTATTTTTTCTAAAATATTTTAAAATAATAATACCACATCTATTATTAAATTGCTACAGAATCGTTTAATATTATCAGATAATTTGATTTAAAATTTGATTATTATATTATTAGACTTATTATTCTGAGGTATTTCTAAATGGGTTTGGGTACTGCAATATTAATTGTTGCACAAAGTACAATGGTTTTAATTTTTGATATTACATCCACAATGCAGATAAAATCAGTGCTCGAATTGGGAAAAATTAAATATAGGAGCTTAATCCAACGATTTAAAAACTGCGTTTCAAGTGCACAATCACTTAATACAGACCCGTGGGGTGCTTCACTCGCTATCCCCCCCGATCCACCTTATCAGCATTTTGAATACCACTTTTAAATTACAATTATAAAAATTCCAAATATATTTTAACAGCAATACGTACATTCTACATGTCGCAGTAGAAAATAGAAACAATATGAATATTGTATTCTGATGATAATATTTTACAATTTTTTTTTTTCTATCACTTTTCTGCGGATAATTTATGTAACCATCATAGAGTAAAGGAGAGTCCTCTACTCTAATTTGAGATTTTATATCATAAAAAAGTGCAGTGTAAAGTGTTTAATACAACAAACTTTTTACATAAAATGCATATGTGTCCCTATAAAAATGTACATTTTACAATTACATAACGTAAGTTATTATTTATCTTCACAAAGTTCATATTGAATTTAAACTAGTATTAAAATTGAATATCAATTCATTTAAATTAAATTAAATTATTAAAAAATAAAAATTTTTATACTAATTTAATTTATTATTAAAATGAAAACAATAAAATTACGTTACCAGTTATAACCAGCACGTCTAAAAGTTTAATTTATTCAACTCTGCGGTATCCACGGAAACGTTTTGGTAAACACGATCAAAATGTATTTACCAAGGTAATATGAGCCAATCGGAAAAAAGTATTTCACACGAAACGAAACGACACGATGAATTAAGGACTCCCCTTAATTACTCTATGGTAATCACATGGTCAAAAGTTTAAATAAATAAATTCAACTATGTGATACTATTTGGTTATTGTGGTATCGTGTGATAAAATATCGATATACTTACCATATGATAAAATATATAGGACCATAGAAAAAAATGATGATACCAAACTAATATTAAAATTAATTTTGAAATTAAAAATAGTAAAATCGTTATATAATTGTCAACAATTGAAATCCACATTTTAATAAAAATTATTTTGGACATTAGTTTGTGCGCCGTCCCCTCGTTCCAGTAAAAAAATAAAAATTAGTAGAGGTGCTCCGTCCGCTGCGCCCCCCCCCCCCTCCCCCAATTCGAGCACTGGATAACATTATCATCATCCGAGATGCCCATAAAAACATGTCTTATAAAATGTAGTTATAAAATTGTGTATAGGATAATAACTAAAAAAAATTCTTAAAAATAATAACATAATTATTGTGTTAGTTTGGTTGTCTAAATTTTACTCCTTGTATAAATCCCGGGACAAAAATACCGTGCGCAGTGGCGGATTAAAACAAAAATATTCTCTAATAGTATTGATATTGTAGATAGCACGTCCTATTAAACTATTGTAATGGCCATTACCGAAATATGTGAGTATATTTTATTCTTTAAAAATACTTCAATTTTTAAAATCCTTATATCAAAATATTTATATAGGTACCCATTATAAATCACTTGGTTATAAATCGAATGCCACTCTGAATTGGTTTTTAGATAAAACAATAATATTATTTTATTATTGGTCTCCAATAAAAAATCTATTTAAATCTAAAAATTATCTAACACGTAAGTAATATGATGAAAAATTATAATGTGACACGCATTCAGTTCAATTTTAGCGTCATTTGCCCAATTTTTCTAAGCATATGTATAGGACCGGATATAACAGATAGAGTCGTAACTAATAGGATATAGTAAATAATTTAACATTTTACATAACCAAAATTGAAAATTGAATGTAGATTATTAAATAATTATTATAATTGTATGGTTATATTTTTGTTTAATGTAAAATATGTATATATGGTAAAAATAATACATTTTTACATTAGTCTCAATCTTAAAATTGTATGAGATAAGATAGGTACAACAAATGTTTAAAAATTATAATATTCCACAGATAGTTCAAAAAATAATTTTCTATCTATTTAATGAGTAAACAATGATAATATTAAAGTATAATACAATTTTAAGGTATTTGATATTTTTTAAGTGGGTTAATTATTTAAGTAGTTAATTACATTCAATTGATATTGTTAATAAAGTGAAGATATAGGCATTACGTTATAAAAAGTATGGTTAAATAGATTGATTTTATTGATTAGACCATTTTAATTGTTGATATTGTCCCATCAGTTATTTGATAAAACGTATTCATAAGTACGTATATATTGTTATAAAACTAATCATTCCCATATCCTTGCTTCACTCAATCTTTTAAAATATAGTGGCGTAACTAAGAATTTAAGCGCTCTGGGACAAGTAAAATATTAAGCACTAGTTACTAGTTACTTAGTCGAATTTTTCCATGCATTTTAAATATAATAATTTTTATGAATGAATTTTTAGAATTTTTTCTACGATGCAAATCATAGAGATTTAAAGTGGCTATCAAATTAAATGCTTCAAATTCAAAATACACACATTATTAAAAAATTTTTCCTTAAAAAATCAATACTTACTATAAATTGTATAATTTATAATTTTACTATTTTGGTGTTTTGAGTTAGTTGCTCATCCCTACCCTACTTATAGCTACACATCTATACAAATAAAAATATTAGATAATATTTCGTTTGTTAAATCTCGTTATCGTATTAATTTTAACGTATAGATTTGTATGAAGTAAATTGAACCTGCCGTTTTCTTAAAAGTATAATATTATTTTTAAAATATTAAAATATTATTATAGGATGTGGCTTTCACTTTCGTCCAAAAATTAGTTTGGTTAAACATTTAAAATGAAAAATACGGACATATTCCGCATGATGGGTAGGGCACTGTTGTAGGTGAGAAATTGAGAAGGTAGGATATAGAGGGGAACGATTTTTTTTTTTTAACGAAAAACAATTCTGAGCGGAGTTCGGTTACACATGTTTAAAAGGCTCGTTCCGCTCAGAATATAAAATGTGAAGTAGGAGATTGGGTTAAGTGAAAATTTAGAACAAGAGTGGCAAACCCCAAATAGCTGGAATGACGGCGTAGGAGAAGCAGAAGAAGATTTAAAATTTTTTCATAATAGTGTTTTAAATAGGTAGATACCGATGGATCAAATGTATATTTGTAATCACAGGTATTGCAGGGTAACAGGTGCCCAATAGCAACACGTCATACATTTTTATATACCTATTTTTAATATCCAAGTTATTTTGAATAATAACCAAGTGATTTCAGAAACGGGCGCGTGCTCCCCTAGATAGATACGGCAAATCTCAGATATTAAATGTACGTTTTATATGTGGACTCTTTTTTTTAATCGAGAACTATAGTCTTAGGCACAAATAGGGGGCTACGAGGTCCAAGTCCTACACGACCAAACCAATCCTCCTAAATAAAATAATTAGTAAGTAAATACTAAGTATACATAATCAATATTGTAGGGGCTTAACCCCCTCCCACAAAAAAGTGCTATTTGTTTTTCATTTATCACTTGTTTAAGACTTTGGGAATATTTTAGTAACAATGTCACTTTTTGTTTGGTACAAATAACTGTACCTGTAATTGAAATCAAAAAGTACCGAGTGCAATGATATTTACTATACCCATAATGGAAATCAAAAAGTGCCGGGTGCAATTTATTATTCCTATACCTACTCTATTTACTCGTACATCTCGTTCACTGAGTGGGTGTAATTTACTTTCTCCTCGCCTTTTTCGTTGAACTTATAATATTATTAATATATGCTTACCTTGTTTTAGGAGAAACTGATGCTTTTTATTATTTACAAATATTTTTCAATTTCAACAACATAGCATTACTAGACATTTGTTTATTTAACTTACATACATTACATATCATATATCTACTTACGTATTTTATTGAACAGTAAAATATTTATGTTTTTGAAAATGTATAAACAATATATTACTATTTATTGACGAGCATTTATGGGAAAACATAATGTATATATTTTTTTTATTAATTTACACATTTTTAGATTTAAAAATCAGTAAACTATATAAAAAAAAAAAAAAAAAAAAAAAAAAAAAAATGTAAAATGTAACAATCCTGATTACTAACAACAACTATCTACAAATACAAAAACAAATAATATTATAACTTTACAGTTATATTTTTTATAATAGAAAATTGCTTTCATAAAACATAATACATATTAACTTAAACAATAAAATATATACTCATTAATTAGTTGGTGTATTTGTTTTTTAAATTTATAATTGTCCAAAACAATCAGAAAGTCCTTGACTTCTTCTCCACGCGGCCAGTCTGTTAGTATACCATTTCTAAAACATATTATTAAACACGTGTAAATAATAAATGTATCCAAAATCAATAGTTAAATTTGTGTAATATATTTAAAGTTGTTTAAAACACAACTAACCAGACATGTAATTCAACTAAAATTAGGTGTACAAATTCACAATTTAATTTATTAAATTTATATACATTTAGGAATTAATAAACTTACAGAGATGGTGGCGAACCCAATCGGAAGTTTGGACAGTTAGATAACATAGAGTTTATATAACTACCTATTTTTGTACATCTATAATAGAGTTAACCTCTGTTTTGAAAATTTAATTTTTCGATTAAAACCTAATAAATTAATATTATTCAACAACTAGTTAATAAAATCATAGATAATATGATTTATTGTCTTTTTTTAAAAAAATATTTGTAAGTCAATTGAACTAGAACCTCGTAGAATTATTGTAGAAATAAAATTAGTTCTACAAAACTAGCTATAGACTATAGCTAGTAAATAGGTGTTCATATTTTATTTTAACAAACGTAGGCAAGTATAAGAAAACGTAGGTTAATAGGTAGATATTAGATGTATAATGTAGTTATAATCAAGTTATAGTTATTATTATTTAAGCATAATTATGATTATTATATAATATTTAATATGTATGATGTACAGGCACGGATCCAGAGCAAAGATCTAAGGGAACTCAATAGTTTTTTTTTAACAAAAATACAATTAAATTGTAATATAATATATTATTTTATCATACATATCGGTGATTGGAATATAGTAATATAGAATAATAAAAAAAAAATCGGAGAAATAATATGTCTGAGGGGGGGGAGGGCTGGGCCCCTAAGTCCCTCTGGATTTTTCCCTGATGTATATGTCTAATCTTTTGCAATATATTGTTTCATTTTTACTTATTATGGCTTCAACTTATGCATATATTACATTAATTAATGCATTATGTAAATAACTAAAAAATCCAAAAACAAAATATAGATAAATAAAGAAAAATTAACTATAGTTAATTACATAATAATAAAATCGTATGATTCAATTAAAACATTCAATATACTCTTTTTTAAAAAAACACATTTATATTTTTATCGTAATAATAATATATCTCTACACACTCATGATAGTTTCTAATGATCAAGCTGTTTTATTGTTCATGCGTTTTATATCATTTGATACCTATGTATTTTTTGTGATTAATAAATCCTAAAAACATCTACAAAGTACAATTTTTGAATTCTATAACATACCTAAGTGATGACTAAAAAATGAACGAATAAAAACAAAAATGATAAACTATTCTTATCGTAAGGTTAATGGAATATTATAGGTACCTATTGTTTTTTTGATTTTTAGATAACATTCTAAATTGTATAATAAAATAAAATTGAATTGCATTGATATATATTTATAATCTTTGTGTTAGTATAAAATTAATGTCTGCATTTTTCCACTTGATAATTTAGAATTATTTTTGATAGGTAATATAGATCGCATATTCTCATCAAAAAATAATGTTCAAAAATATTGTCATTTTTATTTTTTTGAATAATATTCAGTTTCAGTACCGATTTTTAAAGCTATAACTTTAAAATTATCTAAGTACTTATATCCATATATAGAATAAATAAAAGATTATAACAACGATGGTTGTCATTGTTTTTTAATATTTAGATCCACATCTTAAGTAGTTATAAGAAGTTAGTATATAGGACGGTATTTTAAATACATTTTCGAATATATTATTTATTGAAGTTCAAAGAGATAAAAAAAAACATTAAAATATTTTCAAACGTTATTAAACATTGATTAAAACTCTTCAAATGCATTACAAATTACTAAGAAGAAAAAAAAACTAAAGCTAACTTTATACCTAGTCCTAAAGAAATGAAGGTTTATGTTATTTCAAGCGATACCTATATAGCCTAATTAAATGTGTAAGTGTGTATAATAGATGGTAAATCGAGCATATTATAGTCTTTTAAGGAAATATATGTATTATTTTCAACATTTTATTATTAACTATACTCAAATATTTTTATCAATCATTTAAATTTAATAAGATAACACATTATTGTACCCGAGGTTGCAAGTATTTAAAACAGTTTAACACATTAAAATAAAACATCCATTAGATATTTATACTGATTATTTAACTATTCGACTACTTAACTGTTATTCTAAAAAACCTATAAAAATGGTGTTGTTTCATCTTGATGTTTATATAGAAAGTAGGTCGGTTATATTTTTATCTTTATTTAATAAGACATAATTGTCAAATTAATTAAGAACCCTATTATATATACATATCTTATATTATTATATAGGTTAATAGTATAGTACCTTGCATGGTATAGTTTATTTCAATCAACTATAGTTAATTTTATAGATATTAATTATAATAGTAATAATAAACTATTATTTTTATTCTTATATTAATAAAATATATTTATTTTACCTTAACGTCTACATCGTTAACACCCAATTCCGCCGCAATTATTTCCAAATCGGTAGAATGAAGTGTTTTGACTTTATTGAATTGAGATTCCAAGACTTCCAAAACTTCTTCAGGCAATGATATCTTACCATTTTCTGTTTTGTTAGAAAAATCCATCGTAACAACTGTTTAAAATAAAAAATCATACAATTAGGTATAATATTAATATATTATAAATTCATAGGCGGTTTTCTGTGTGGCCCAAAGAAAATTGTTTGCATATATATGTATATAATTTTTAACATATTACCGTCATAATTTTATTTTTAAACGCATATAAAAAAATCAACTACATTGCGCTCAACTTTTTTTTTTATTGATTACTAAGTTAAAACTATAATAAACCTCATATTCAATTTTTTAGTGAAAATGTCTGAAAGAAAAGTTGTTTACATTCAGGGAAAAAAATCGCATACATAGTAAAACCAAGATTCTGATATAAAAAATATATTATTATATTAATTTATAGAGATAAAAAGATATAATATTTATTTAACCCCCCCCCCCCCTGCAGAACATTTTAGATTTTTATTTTGTATTTTTTTATACTTCGCGAAGCACATTTCAAAATAGTTAACATTTTTTTTTTTTTTTTTTTATAGACGATAATATAGAATGAGTATTTGATATTTTTATAAACAAAAATGGATAAAAAGTAGTTTTCATTATCGATATGTTTTGATGGTTTGGATGAACTATCTAATATTTCATTCGAATATTAATTTCGAAAAATTATTTAAATACTTTTTATTTCGGTTTTTCCTTTGTATTATCAAAATTTTTTTTAAAAAAACCAATTCAAATAAACAACAGTCGGTAATTAAATACATAACACGAAAACCTTCAATTACCTACTGTCGGTTGAAAACGAAAACTCTGCAAATTAATTTGCGAAACTTGCCGTATTAGAAGGTTTTATTTTTGGATTTCAAAAAAAAGTTGGCAGACAACATTGAACGTTGGACATGCGTACAAATAAAATGTAAGTCATATTTGAAAATAAATAACAAAAATTTAATTTTTAGTTAAAATATAGTACATAACCTTGAAAAGGATGACGTTAAAAAACATAAAAATACAGAAATTAAGCAACAGTTCAAGAAGTATTACGCATGAACGCCTAGTAAAAATTATTCGCTGTAAGTTAGCTTGTAGATGCCCAGGTACGCAGAATTAGAACAAATATTAATGCTAGTCGGTGTAGTAAAATACCAACGTTGCTCAAAACATTGAGCATGTCTCATGGTATATTTAATAATTATAACTTAAAAGTTCGAAAATGGAAAGACAAATTTAAATTGCTATTAAAATAATTTGAGAACCAATTATTGAATTATTGAATTATTATTAAGTTCGGATGTAGCCACCTAAACGATTATTTGGATATTGCTTATATAGGGGTTCTGGTTATTTTGTTTCGCCTTTAGTACCTACATTCAAGTAACAATTAAACTTCTCACTTAGTTCTTTAAATTCATATGTTACGTATCAATGTCAATATCAGTGCTGTTTTAACATTTTTAGACTTAATTTCAAGATCCACATATATAAGTATTCCAAAAAATGTTTTGTCAAGTTGATTAAGAAATCATTTGGTTTTTAATTTTTCTCGTAGTTTTCTTCATAGATAAAACTACGAGTTAAGCCCGTCGGGTTGACTTGACCTAATACAGACTAGATAACATATTGACTAAAAAATACTTAAAATTAAAATTAAAAACTTAATTTTTGCATCTAACTATTTTTTTTTCATATTTATCATTTGGCTTGACAAAATAAAATTTTAGTCGCTTAAAATCTAGTTTCACTTGTGGTTTTCATAATAATTAGGAAAAACGATGGAATAACAAGGATATTTATAGTATTACAGATATAATTTTTTGTTGCGCCTCTGTTAAAAATAATTGTAAAGCCCTGCAATTTTCAAAAGGACTAATATTAGCATTTTGTAGACGTGGTACAAATTTTAACATATTCTAGCAATTTTTGAGCATTTATAGTATTATAGGCATTTTCCATGTTCATGTTTTCATTTTGTTTTATGTATTTTGTATTGGTTAGGCATATGTGAATAATATAGTTTGGCTTAACAGAATTGCTAGGGAAATTTAAGACATAGTTCTTTAAAAGTTGTACTTAATAACATTTCTGTATTTTGATTAACTGCCAATATTTCTTTTCTAATAAATGTTCGGAAAATAATACATTCGTTATTCCTTTAGCAATTTAGCTAGTATACTTTTGAAATTTATACGGGCATAGGGAAATGTCATACGTAACACTAGAGAGTTTCCTACGAAAATATGTTCATTACGATATTTCGAAATTTTTTTTATTGACAATTTAAGAAAAATGCCGCTCTAAAATGTTACATTTAAATTATTTTCTATCACCCTTATTTTTGGGGGTGTATCAACTACTTTGATTTGCAAATGGTAACCAATAGTAAAAATTCTATAACTAAATTAAGTATTAGTTTAAATACATCTTGGTGTTTATTTTCATCAATCTGTGGATGAAATATTTTACTTTTAAGTTTGAAAAGTATTTTAGAGTATTAATTAAATACCATGCACTGTGCCTTCACACAATAATATTTTTCGAATATAAACTATTTGTTCTACAGAAACTATCAAATAATTGAAATGCGATCAACTATCAAATAGTTTGATAGTGATTATACTATAGTGTCCATCAATAGTAAAAAATAAAATGTTTTCCTGCATAGTCATTTTTCAGGGCGGCTAGTTGCCCCTTTGGCGCGTATCCATTCTATGCCATTTATTATACATGCAATATTTTGTACAATCATTCGATAAGTATTCGAAAAAAAATATTTATTATACAAACCAGTATTTACTTCTTATTCAAATATATCTTCTTCTTATTATAGAACAGATTATATTTATTATCTAATGTTAAACATTTTTTAATCATATTCTAAAAATGTTTTCAATTAGAATAGCGATTTTTAAATTGTCGAACTGATCAATAATTTGAGTGTACAAAAATAGAAAACCGTGTTAAAACATACTATAGGAACTTACACTTTTTATAGTTTACTCAAAATACACACGATTCGTCACAAATAAAATAGCCTTGACCGATCTTAGATTTTGTATAATTATATGCATATTTATGCTAATTGTTTATTTATAGTTACTAATAATTTATAAATGTATTGCCACACGTGGTATAATTATTAGAAGACATTATAATTAATTTATTTTATATTTGTTTAACTTATAATATATAAACGAAATTAATATTTTTTCCTTTTATGCTTCGGATTTTGTATCGATAATAATTTCAATATAATTACACTTTACATTAATTATTTACCTATCGATTATGTTTTGAAATTTCTGAATTGTATAGCTATATCAATATATATATAAAATGTTATGGTTTTTTTATTCATAAAAACAAATGTGTTCCTCTTATATACCTTCTATTGAAAATATATTATCATATGTAATTGATTTTTGAAATATTATTGTCTATGCAATTTGGAAACCCTAAAGGTTAGGTTAGGAATAAAATAGATATCAATAATTTGCAACGTTGGGAATAATTGTATTAAATCTTTAACACCGAACAGTATAAATCTACTTAAAATTACTAGTCGGCAAACTTTAATTGAAAAAAGATTATTCTATAGGTTTTTAATTAGTGCCTATTATATTATTAATTTATTATATCACCAATAAAAATTATCTATAAAGATACACTTTTAAAGCTTTTCTCACGTATGCCGCGTATTATATATATTATGGTAATTAATAAATAAGTATATAGTATATTGTATAATGCAATACACATTGCGATCGGTATTCAGTTAATATGATATTCACGTCTATCATCATGCATGAAATACAGATAGTATAAGTAAAACATGTTTTAGTACAAATTAAAATTATAACATTCTATATTGATGTTTTAACGGCTGGTGAAGTTTCAATTTATCTGATATTTTTTACAAAATAATTAATTTTTTGTATATATACATAGGCATGTGATTTGAATGATAGGTAATAAAAGTATATTTTTTCTATAAACCATTTCATTGAATTATTTTGAGCAGTTTAACATTACACATCAGGGGTTATTTTTGTCAACTACACATTTGATATAATTAAGCCTTACCTAAAAAACATTAACAATGGTCTTAAAACATAATATGAAATTATAGATAAAAATGGTAATATTTTTTACTTTTTTGTACAGTATTTTAAATTTAATTTTTAGGCTATAAATTAGAAATAAAATAATAAATACACGGGTTTAAAATATATTTTTTTAATTTACAATATCATCTTTACTTTTTCATAAAATGTTTATACCTAAGTACATAACACAGTTTTAGAACATTCTTTTTTCAATTTGCTCGACTTCAGATTATCTTATTGTTGATCCTATAAAAATCCCATTGAATCAATTATGTTCTTTAGCTTTAGGTGTATGTTTGACGGGGCTCAATTTGGTTTAACCTTACGTATCTATATTGCTAATTTGGGTCCCGATTTTAAAGAGTAGGAATGATAAAGTGAATAAAAGCATATACATTTTCAATTTTTACATGTAAATTTTGTCAATTAATTAATTTAAAAATATTGCTTTGGAGTTTTGTAGCTATAATACGAGCAAGTAAAATATATTGAATTCGTAGAAATTGTTCAAATAAAGTACCAAATCGAAAAATTCGCATCTTTATGAAATGTTCTGAATGTATAACATAAAAAAAAATTGGAGCATTTTTACGAACCAAAAGAAAAACCAAATCATACATTTTAGTAAAACTAATATTTTCTTTGCTATTACACTCAGAATCTAAAAATACATAACGAATTAAAATATTTTAAGATAATTATAGTTATAAGTACGTCTGGCTGGAATATATAATACTATTTAATAGAAAATAAATTTAGGAATATTATTTTTTCTCTAAATTTGAAATAATTACAAAAATAAACATTGAATTGAATTTTCATGCGAAATCCCACAGATACTATTATAGATTTTTTGATCGCATATATAGATAAGGAAAAATTTCTTTATCTATATTTAGCTGCGTACGAACTGAGTCCTAATAAAACGTTTTAGAACGAATTAAGTTCCTTCCAATTTTAGCCATAATACTAACCTATCAAATCCTATCGAGTCCCATCAAACTTTTTTTAAAAAAAAACATTAAAATTACATTTTTTACATATAGGTAAAAATTTATTATAATATGAATAATATAAATGTCCTTGTGTATAGTTTAATGAATATAGGTGATAAAATTATATTTTTCATTTTGGTAAAATTGTATGTGATAAACATTGTATATATTCAAATTAAGTTATTTTATTTGATTGCATCAGCTGCATTTTGTTCCCAGATTAATTTTTTTTTATTTTTTATATCATTTCTTGCATTAATGGTATGAGTACTAGCGACGGTAGAAATAAAATCTAAAATTCCCGGCAATTATAATAATAACATAAAATTATGTTATTATATTGGCTGCATACGAATTGAGATTATATTATCTGACGAAATTGCTAAAGATGATATGAACGATATCACGTAGTCGTCTCCATATTCGTATAATATGGTTGATTTTATATTTTACTCAAAGTAATCCTCGGTCTCAATTACTATATTTTTGGTTTTCTAACCGTGGACTCAATTACTATACAGAGCTATATGCATACAAAACTGGCAAGTTAGTATTTTTTTCAACTAGTCAAAGTTAAATTACTTTAATATAAAAACCAATACAGTCAGGATAGAAGTTAGTTTCTAAAATTTCCTAAATTTCTAACTTAATGAAAAAAAGTAACTTAAGTTAAAATAAAAGGTTAGGTTTTTTTTCATAATTTAAAAAACAGAAATTAAATTATTGGTGATACTATATCAATTGAATTGAATTGATAATTTTTGATCAAATGTTAGATGTATTAACTTTAATGTATTGCATATATGGAATAATTTACCTATAATCAATAAGAATATCAATATATAGCAATTAATAATAATATATTTTAAATATCTATGGGTGAAACTTACTCGATACATCACTCACCAGCCCTAGGAAAATTAGTAATAATTTATAATTAATTTATGTTAGAATATTATAAAAAAAAAAAACTAGTTATATATTTAAGTGGTGCATGTCATTCTCAATCATCAATTAATATATCATTTATCAATATTATAGTACTTATCAGTAAACTACATACTAATAATACAATATCAATCTGATACCGTATTTATTCTTATCACTAGGCAGTCCAAACGATTGGTGATTTTAAATTTATTTTTAAAACTATAAAGTACACATTTTGTAAGAACAACTTTTGATTATTTTAAAAATAACTAGTTAAGTTATTAAGTTACAATATAAACAAAGCTACTAGTTAAGTTAAAAGTTGTCGACAAAAGTAATTTCTAACTTAACTTCTAATTTTCCTACTAGTTAGTGTCCAGTTTTGTTTTTCTGTATAGGGTTTACAGGTTTCCAGAGGCCCGCGATTACACGCCAGAGAAATAAATATATAATAATATAATCAATAATATTATATATTAATAAATAGTAATAATTGTTCGCTCACCTCGTGCTAAAGACGATCTCGTATGAACAATATTCCAGAATCCTGCAAAAAGGGTTATTCTTTTTAGGTAGTCGGGCGTCCGATCTTCCGGTAAAGTGTACTTATAATACACAGGCGTAATATATTATTATTTACACCGGCGTCGGGGATTTATCGTACGGGTAAGTAAACTTTTTGGGTACACGGTTGGGTACAGACAATATAATAAAACCGGTAATACGTACACTATATTATTATGATACACGAAAATCGACGAGACGTTTTCACCGTGTCGTCTCGGCGGACGTACGCTACACAATATAATATAATTTTTTGTGACCGTTAATGCGCGTGGTTGTAAGTACGACAAACAATGCGCCGACGATGATGAACAACCGAACAGAGCCGACCGTTCTATTTATTCTGGCGCGCGCGAAATTGGCAAACGCGTTGCGCGGTGTATTCTCGGATCGCTTTCGATACACACTATAGGTATATCGTCGGCGGCGCGTATACGTTAAGAGAGTATAATATAATATTATCATTTATATATACATATAAATACATATATAATATATATATATATATATATTATATAGGTGTATACGTATATAGCGTATATTATAATGGCGCGCGCACGCGAGAGTAGGTCGGATATCTTCAAAGTCTCCCCCCTCCTGGTCTCCCCCCACCAAGTGACACCTCACTTCAGTTTTTTTACACGTGATAATATACAGGGAGTGTACCTAATACATTTACGGACAAACACAATATTTTGCATTTATTACCAATACCTAGCTGTAACTATGTATACAAGTAGTTTTGTGAGTAATCCCATGTAAGTACCAATTTATATACCGAATTAAAAAAAAAAAAAAACTTGGACATATATTTCGTACAGTAGGTATTATAGGCCAATGTTGTAGTTGCGAAGTTCAGAAGCCGTATAGGATATGGGAAAGCAATATAGTTCATATACCTACTGAAAGCAATGAAAAATCGTTGGAATGAAAAAACGATTCTGAGCGGTGCTCGGTAAGCTGATAAGATATTAGTATAAATAGTTTAAGTTTAATCGAGTTTAATTCCCTTGAATGTTTTAGCCAAGCATATTTGAGTATTTTTACTAGGTAACCAAAAAAGTGTATTCCGAGAAATGTTTTGGCAAATTCAAGGTTGACGTACAGCTCTCAGAAAGTTTTACGATTTTTAAAAACTCGTGTAGATGAGACTCGTTTTCTACGACTCTCCTGAAGTGTTTGTATTTATATAAATATAAAGCATTTTTTTTTTGACTATGGCTATTTCGAAAATTAGTGTGTGTAAACAATATACGCAAGCACGTATATAAGAGGGGAACACCCCCACATTTCAGGAAAATGTATAGAGTAAAAAAACATAAATGATTAAAAACCTAAACCCCTCCCTCCACTCAGAAATATTGTACATGCCTGGATATACGTATGGTACTTACCTAATACGCTTATATACAAGAAAGTTATAGATATTGAAAGAAAACGATATTTACTGCAAAGTGCAAAGAAGGAACTCACGTGTTATGTACAATTAATTAAATATACATTTTTTTTTTTCACCAAGAAAAAAGTTCCTAAGAATAAAGAGTTTTATTCGCACTTAATAGATTGTCACGAAGGCTCACAACACACTCTGTATATAATATTATATAGTGTATAGATACTTGCGCCGCCGTGACAGGTCTTTTCTCCGTCGAGTAACACGTGTATATTATATACGTTTGTGTATGAGTACTACAAATTAATTGCTATTAAATCGTTATCGAGTCTCGTACACGATCGTCATGGTACAGCATATAATAACTAATAACTAATAATAATAATAACAATATAAGCCCCCGAAGGGCTACCGCAAAGAGCCTAAAAGTGTATGACTATAATAGGTATGTATATACTTATTATACATATATTACAGCCTATATAGTATTAATATATAGTGTGTTTCTCAGTTCATCCAAATAGTTATACGAAATATTTCAGCCGGATGTATTTTGATTGTAATGGGGGTGTTATATTTAGAAAGTACGAAAATTGAAAAATGCACATTTTAAGTCTGTTTTCAAAATGCTAACCCCTGCGATGGGCAACAAAACGTACATTTTCTCGAAAGTAAACACCTTATTTTTAGCACCTGAATACTATTATTTTTTTTTTCAATCAACTTTGACTAATACAATTGTTTTTTATCTCAAAAATCGTCTGTAATACAACTATCTAAAGTGTATTAAACGAGTTTTAAAATTCAGAAATTTAAAACATATCACTTTTTTGTAAAGAAATTGTATTACTGTTTTATGGGGAACAAATTATATGTAAAGATAATCATAGAATTGCATGTAAATAATACCAAAGGCAGCGGCGTACCGGTGGGGTGGCATGACGGCCAATGAGCCACGGGCCCGTGCCATTTAGGGGTCTTCAATCATAGCCGAAGCATTGTTTTGATGAATCTTTTTTTCCGCTCCAATCTGTGTAAATTAGGCCCCAACTAGGATAGTGCACTTGGTCGTCGATTCAGTTAATCTAGAATATTTTGCCACGGGCATTACAATTCCTAGTTACGCCACTGACCAAAGGATGAAAATTCAAGTCAATTACGTGGGAAATATTTTTGAAAAAAAGGAAAGGAACAAAGTCCCTAACTATAAAGCTGTAAATAATTTATCATTATAATCCAAGCATGCATCGTTCTAACGAAATACCAATTTTGAGAGGAATGGGTAAAAGCTCCTGTAGTTATACTGTTCTAATGACAACATACATTATTTAAATATTATTGTAGTGACTTGTATATTAAAATCGAGTCAACAAAATTAATAATTTTGAACGACTTTTAGAAAGTGGTAAAACGAGTCTCCGTTATGTATACATATATACTTATATACTGTGTATAATATATACCTAATACTTACTCGTATATGGGTGGTGAATTATGTTCCGATTGTTTTTCGTAATAATAATTATGATAACATAGTTAAGTGTTTAAGTATAAATATATATCTGATGGATTTTATTCGTTTCAATGCTTAATCGAGATCATCCTGGATATGATATCGTGCACAGTTCTGCTGCAAAAACTAGCTGCAGGGTATACACGACACGAGTAGGATCATATATAATATAAATAGGTATACAATAATACAGCCCAGATAAGGTACCTAGTGACTTATATTTATTTAGTACAGTAGTTCTTCGATACTTCGAAATTCGGGGGACAAGCTGAAAATATGATTTATTGAGGTTTTAGATTTAGCTAAAGTTCGAATTATCGAGGTAAAAAGAGAAATAATTAGTATTAAAGATGGTTGGAAAAATGCATTACATATTTATTATTTAATTGAATTTACTGTATATTTTTTATTATTTATTGTATATATATATCAGTACCATATATCTCATTAGAAAAATATCAGTTATTTTCTTTTTCGATACAATTTTGACCCTGACCCTGGATTTTGGATTATATGTTATCTAATCTACCGATGTAAATAATATTACATTGTTTTTCGTCAATAATATTCGAATTGTAAAGTGTCTACTGTCGTTTCATATTTTATTATTTTCGATCATCGAGAGGAGAGGGGCTGAAATACATGTGGTTTTTTTAATTGTATAAAGGAGATCAAGTGATTAGTTCGATCATTTAATTTATGGAGTTTTTTGAATAATCGAGAATCTACTCTATCATGCTAACACATTTTATTGATTATACTCTTATTATATTATTATATCGTTGATTATTTTCAATTAAAATATAAGTATTAAGTAGGTATAATAAGTATAAGCATATATTTTGTTGCCGTATATTTTCGTTACTTTTTTCGCTCTATATATACCTATTGGCCACTATCTATACCTGCATCTTAAATGAAGTTAATATATATTATTAGGTTATCTATTCTATTAAATAGTCCATACTCCATACGATAATAATACATAATTATTAGTTATGACTACATAGAATTAACGCTACAGGGATAAAAGACCGGTATAGCAAAATCGTCTTCTAATTAGAAACATACGATTGTTTATAGGTACATAATATACACACACACACACATAACATACATTATATTAAAAATATCCTACGGAAGTAAAAATATCTTTAATAGTGTGTTTTATTCCAATGATAACACGATATATTTCAGCTGGATGGACTTAGTTTGAAATGGGGTATATTAGGAAGATCAGGGATTCAAAAATATACATTTTGATCCTAATTTCAATATGTCAACTCTTGCAGTGGGAGAATTCACAATTAAACCTAAATTTTCTTAAACGGAAATACCTTTTTTTAACAACAGGTTCTATTTTTGAATAAACTATATTTTAAAGCAACTTATACAAATAAAATTTTTTTTATTCTCAACAATTATCTGAGATATAAACTACCGTCTGAATTTTTCGTCCAAGTTAGTTATTAATGTTAATTGTTACTAGGTATATGCAATTGTATGATTATCTTTACTTGTAATTTGTTTCACATAACAAAGTAGTAGATTGTAAAATGTCTGCACTTTTGTTGACAAATCGGATTTAGTCGATTTAATTTTTTTAGCTATAGAAAAAATGGTATTAGTTACTTGAAAAAAATACTAAATAGTACTTACTATGCGAATTTAATGTTAGAGAAAGATGTTTCTGTTTGAGAAAAGTAAGTTTTATTATGCATGTGGTCACCGCCAGAGTTAAAATGTTAAACGAATAGATTCAAAATGGATATTTTATTTTGGTACTTACCCCCGGATCTTCCTAAAAAAAAACACACACACATTTTAATTCAAGTTCATCCGCCTGAAATATTTCGTATTACCGTTTGAATGAATAACACATTGTATAATAATATAAGAACTAAAAAAAAAAAGTTGCCGGAGGCGGGAAAAAAATTGTGTTTACGCGTCGAGAAACCTAGACCTATTGTGTTCCCTCGCTGCACCTGGTGTCACGTGCAATAGTCTATATTATATTATTATATTATATAATGTTATGTGTGTATGAACGCAATATTATACGCACGTATAATATATATACGGTACCTATAACTTTTCATATATATATATTGTTATAATAATAATATAATCGTGTTTTGGTTTAGTTAGTATTTCGATACCGTATTACCTGTACTGCGTGTATGCGTGAATTTGTGTGTGTATGTGTGTGTATGTGTGTGTGCAGCGGTGTTTTTAGACGTCTGTCTAGAGTGCTGCTACATAGGTACAAGTACATAAGGTCGTATGAAATTCCGAATTAAATCCTTTTAAATGTCAGCTAAAACCGAATCGCACGTATTCGTGATCACCTACCTATAGATAAATATACATACACGTGGAAAATCAAAGCGAATTGTTTTTTTATTGGTTACCTATAATACAACTACTGCTGCAGACTATAACAGCTATATTATAATTTAAATACCACCTACCAGATAGTCAGAACATACTATATCTAATATGTTTTATCGTGTATCATACGTATACATAAAAAAAACTCGATATTTTATATTCCTTTC